GTCCCCCGGGTAACTTCACTTCCTGCCTTGTCTCGTCATCCCCTGTGTTCGTCTAGATAGTTTCCACCTGTGTCCAATCACCTGCACCTCCCTTGTGTATTTAAAGCCATGTGTCTCTTGTGTCAGATCGCGTCATTGTCTTTTGCCACGCATGTCCTGTTCTTGTCTTTCGCCCCCGTAGGTTCATGCTTGTGTGTTTTTGCCCCTTGGCCTTTTGGATTTTGGACCTTTTGATTATTAAAGTCTTTTGTTTTGGAAAAGTCTGCGTTTGAGTCCTGCCTTCCACCCTCAACCCTGACAGAATGACGCGACCATCGGACTCCGCAGACCCGCTGCCAGACTACGGTCCGGACTACCTGGACGTAAGAAGTCCCTTCTGGCAGCGGAAAACGAATTTTGTTTTTGGTCCCAGGAGCTATCAGCTCGCCTGCCTCGAGCTCCGGGACCTCCTGAACCCTAGAAGGAGGAGCAAGCGGAAGAAGCGCTCTCCCGTTCCCGCTGGGCCGCCGCAGCGATCTCCCGCTCCGAGACTCATGGCCCCGACGCCCCCAGTCCCCGCTCCGAGACTCATGGCCCCGACGCCCCCAGTCCCCGCTCCGAGACTCATGGCCCCGACGCCCCCAGTCCCCGCTCCGAGACTCATGGCCCCCAGTCCCCGCTCCGAGACTCATGGCCCCCAGTCCCCGCTCCGAGACTCTTGGCCCCCAGTCCCCGCTCCGAGACTCATGGCCCCGACGCCCCCAGTCCCCGCTCCGAGACTCAGATTCCCTCCCTCCCGCCCTCCCGTTGGTAATTTGAGGGCCGTCTGGGATCCGGCCCTTAAGGGGGGGGCTATGGGGGGGGTTATGGGGGGGGCTGAGCCGCCGACTGTGAAGGTGTTCCGTGTCCCCCAGCCACCCACGACTGCGGAGGTGTTCCGTGTCCCCGAGCTGGAGCCACCGACGACTGCGGAGGTGTTCCGTGTCCCCGAGCTGGAGCCGCCGCCGACTACTGCGGAGGTGTTCCGTGTCCCCGAGCTGGAGCCGCCGCCGACTACTGCGGACGTGTTCCGTGTCCCCGAGCTGGAGCCGCCGCCGCCGACTGCGGACGCGTTCCGTGTCCCCGAGCTGGAGCCGCCGCCGACTACTGCGGACGCGTTCCGTGTCCCCGAGCTGGAGCCGCCGCCGACTACTGCGGACGTGTTCCGTGTCCCCGAGCTGGAGCCGCCGCCGACTGCTGCTGACGTGTTCCGTGTCCCCGAGCTGGAGCCGCCGCCGACTGCTGCTGACGTGTTCCGTGTCCCCGAGCTGGAGCGGCCGCCGACTGCTGCTGACGTGTTCCGTGTCCCCGAGCTGGAGCGGCCGCCGACTACTGCTGACGTGTTCAGTGTCCCCGAACTCGAGCCGCCGCCGACCCCCCCGGAGGGTTCCCGTGTCCCCGAGCCTGCCATGCCAGAGACGTTCCCGAGCCGGCCAAATGACCGTCCGCCGGGCCGACCACCGGAGGCTCCCCGGCAGTGTGCCTATCCGCCAGGCCGACCCCCAGAGGCTCCCCGGTCGCCTGGCCGCCCGCCGGGCCGCCGCCAGAGTTTCCTGGGTGGCCCGACCATTGTCTCTGGTTTCCCTCCCCACCCACCCCTTGTTCGCTCTAGTGTTGGCCGTCTGGAATTCGGCCCTTAAGGGGGGGGGTACTGTCACGGTGTGGTTCACTTCCTGTCTTATTTTGTAGTTTTCTCCCACTCGTGTCCCCGGGTAACTTCACTTCCTGCCTTGTCTCGTCATCCCCTGTGTTCGTCTAATAGTTTCCACCTGTGTCCAATCACCTGCACCTCCCTTGTGTATTTAAGCCATGTGTCTCTTGTGTCAGGTCGCGTCATTGTCTTTTGCCACGCATGTCCTGTTCTTGTCTTTCGCCCCCGTAGGTTCATGCTTGTGTGTTTTTGCCCCTTGGCCTTTTGGATTTTCGACCTTTTGATTATTAAAGTCTTTTGTTTTGGAAAAGTCTGCGTTTGAGTCCTGCCTTCCACCCTCAACCCTGACAAGAAGAGGAAAAATAATTAGAAAATAGAAAAATATTATAGGTTTTCTTTCACCAATGTTAAAAGAAATACTTGCTTTTATATTTTCTACTTTTACATACATTATGTATATATATATATATTTTATTTTGCAATCCTGCTTTGCTAACAGCAAAGTTACAGAGTCCTGCAGTAAGTGACGTTATGATTCATTCAAGATGTATGCTGTAAAAATGTGTATGTGGCAACGATAAACTTCATCATGTAACTCATCACTTCATTTCCAGGTGTGTCTGTTTGTAATCTCAGAAATGAGAGAATTGACATAAACCTCAATGACACATCTTACTACTGGTAGTGTGTGTGTGTGTGTGTGTGTCGCGTGTGTGTTGTCTTCGAAGACGCTTATCCTTCATATGGGGTGGCATACCATCTCTGAACGCACAACACGACTTTGAAGAGGACGGGCTACAGCGGCAGAAGACCACACCGGGTGTCCACCGGCAACACCCGCTGGACTCTACCATTCACATGGTTGGGTCAGAATTTCGGCTTCAATTTCAGGGTATTTACATCTAAATGGGGTTGACGTGGCGCAGGGGTAGAGAGGGTGTGCTTGGAACCGCAAGGTTGGTGGTTTGAGTCCCGGCTGCCCCGTGTCCCTGAGCAAGACACCTAACCCCTAATTGCTCCCCGGGAAAAAATGTAAAAAGCCAAAATACAATGTAAGTCGCTTTGGATAAAAGGGTTAGCTAAATGACCTGTAATGTAATGTAAAATCAGGCAAACGTAGCAATTACAACACACTATATTCGTGTGCCCCCTCCCTTTTGAAGGAGCCATAAGTAATATGTAAAACCTATCAAGGTATTAAGTATCTGTTATATAATATTATATAGTCTATATTGTTACCGTAACGCTTGGTGTAAACACGCATCCCGACCACACGGGGCGCGGAGGAGCGCTGGAGGCGCAGAAAAACTTCCTCCCCGCTGGAGGAGGCGGACCCGGGTTCCAAGCAATTAAGGGCGCTGCCATACAAAGTACAATCTCAGTAGTTAATTTCTTAAACAGTTTCTCCGGAACAGTTCAGTAGTTCTCCTGAAGCTTTCGCTGCGCAGGGTATCCGGTGAGCTACAAGATGGTCCAGAAGATCCTCAACTCCCGATCTGTCCTCTCCAAATCTCTGACGGTTCTGCAGAGACTACGGACACATCAGCCAGGAGGGTCTGCAGCGAGCCGGTGAGTCACGCAAACGCATTTAAGAGATGGAGATCACTCATCCACTGGACACCCCGTTTGTAATGTTTCCTTAAAGGTGTCTCGTGCTTGTTCGGTAACAGCGTTTACTGAAAAAAAACCGCGCGATTGTTTAAGTACTTATTTTCCCACAAAACTATCCCGTTTCAGTTCAGTATTGCACGTGTTCAACTGTTTTTAGATAATGTAAATGTCAAATTCTGCGTTGAAAAGATTCTTAGAGAGTCGAAAGGAATGTGAAGAGTCTCATGGGAGTCATTGATGTCTCCACCCCTTCGTTCTCCAAATGAACCCTGTACTTTTATGTAGAAATGTGAGGTTCCGCATTTGAGTATTTTGTCATTTGTACATTTATCTGAAATCTACACTAAAGTTGTTGTTACGAATTTTATAAAATGTGATGATTGACGAGTTAATGAGTGATGACAATTTAGCGGAATTTATTTTATTGTCAACATATTTTTGATAACCTTTCTGTTGTGTAATGAGGTCTAATGGTAATTTATTTCAGCTTCCCAAATCCGATTAGTTCACTCTTTTTTACTTCTATTGTTATAAACAGTTTAAGAATCTATGTTGTACTGATTTTACCGCCGTGCAAGCTCGTAATCTTTCTACAAACCTCTGGATTATACCTGTATAATCAAATACAATTTTAAGTGTAGGTCTTTTAATTTGTAGTGCAATGTTTTTATTTTACAGTGTTGTATTAGTCAAATATTCGCACTTCCTCCACGATTGGTAGCCAGCAGTCAGGTGACTGCCGGCTGGTGGAAAGTACATTTACCCAAAAAGAGTAGACATTGCTTGAAGTGGGAAAAAAAAAAACCATACGGGCGTCTGGTCTCACACACACACACACACACACGCACACACACACACACACACACACACACACACACCGGTGAGTACCGGCCCACTTCGAGCACTGAGTGTAGACTCATTGGCATTTTGTTGTAAAGAAATGTCATGATTGGGTACAATTTGACCAAGTAGCACAGATAGAAACCTAAAGGGGGCCCAGGATGCAGGCATGAGGTACTCCACTCATATCCAGAACCAACTGATGGGCCGCCATGTTGGAAAAACCTCTAACTTCTCTTCTCCTGCAGCGGCATTCACGTGGACTCTTCCCCCATCACCTCAACGCTCACTACCAGCTACGCCCACGGCACGTCCTCCTCATCTCTGCTAAACGCCACAGTCGGAGAGTCCCTGCTGCGGACCGTGGAGCGGTGGCCTGACCGAGAGGCCGTGATTTTTGTGAAAGACCGAGTCCGCAAGACCTTCGCACAGCTTCAGCAGGATGTGAGTTGTTTCCTTGAAGCGTGTTGCATCTGTCCAGTCAGTGTGTGTGTCCCTCCAGCGCCAACTGATGACCGTCAATCCAACAATTTTCAGATTGGTTGAGGTTGGAAAACCTTCAGGCACAACAATACATTTCAGCCATGTTTGCATTTTTACAAAGGGTCCAAAACGTTGGCTCTTGAAGTTAAACACGTAAGTCCTAGGAGGAGCAATCATTACATGTATTACTCTTATTCGGTATCTTCTGACTTCTGACGCAGTGACCTGGATTAGCTATTTTTGCTGACCCCCATGTTACCGTACAGCCTTACATAAAGCAGGGGAAAGTTATGCACTTCCTCCCAGCTTCACCTTCTCTACTTGCATCTGTATAATGAAACAAAACTTTTAAACAATTTAACTTTATATTGTTTTAAATGTTAATGATATGATTTAGCTGTAAACTGTGGGGCTCAACAATTCTCCCCCAACATAAACCACATTTTAACCACCCTGTTCACCTCTGTCTGTGGGAACAAGGTGGTCCCTGCGTAAATCAATAAAAACAGATTTTTTTCCCCTCAGTTCTATAAGTGTCCAATCTCTGACAAGGAAACTACACATTTCTTATTTTAAGTACGCTTAAAAAGCTCTTTGTTTTCCAAATCCTAAATTACATTTATTGACAAACTAATTTAATCACAACCTTTGATTGAAATTATGTCATTCTTTTAGGGGAATGTCATAATGTAAATTGAATATAATTAAAGGATTTGTTTAATCTGATCCCATTAAGCTCCATCGATAAGCCTGGATGTTGCCAGCCTTTTTTTGTCATTTACACCATGTGTGTGTGTATGGTCCAGTGTATTAAATGTATTTTATTTCTTACCATATTGATCCGTCTGCTAAATATTAAAGGGATATCGGGTCTTTCTGTATGTTGATTTAGATTGACCGGCATGTCCTGCTCAGTTTGTAGCCTTTCACCCAGTGAACATTTCCCAGATTGGTGTCGTTAACCTGCACCCAAAGGTCCAGCAAACAGCGTTCACATGTCAGCTGGCGCATAAAACCCGATAAACGACGTATTATCTCTGCTCCTAACTGCCGACAGTGTTCCCTCATTACTTACTCATATTAGAGTTCAACAAAGTGTTGAGAAGAACGCCATGCAATATTCAACATCGACACAACTGTGAAGAAGAAAAAACATTTGGTGAAAAGGTGTTTCTATCTATACTCGCTAAACATGAGTGTATGCGGAGGGTTAGACTTTACTCTTAATGAACAGCTTGTGGTGGCAAAGTGAAATGATGACAAGCCCAGATTACATAACTCAGTAGATATTTCTATGTGTGTGTGTGTATCTCACACACATGTATTTATGTCATGTTTTTCGTCTGTTAAACCCGTTCCTGTGTCCTGAACGTGTCCGTAGGTGGATCAGGCTGCAGCTGGTTTGCTGGCTCTGGGACTGCAGAAAGGAGACCGTCTCGGCATGTGGGGACCCAACACGTATGAGTGGATCCTGTTCCAGTTCGCCACAGCCAGAGCTGGGATCATACTGGTGAGTCAAAGCTACGGCAACAAGAAGGCAGCGACGTAATCAGAGCACAAGGGAAAGATGTCGGAAAGACGGTGTGTCTTCTTCCTCCTCCGTGCCATAGAGCTCCGTTAGAAAGCCATCGATGAGCCTCCGTGTGGCACTTCAGTCCCAAACAAGACGAACTACACTCACCGAACAACGTACAACAACGTATTAAGAGTGTCACTGGTTACACAGTGAAGACGTATTCTGACTGAGGTCCAAGGAATTAATTGATGTGTTTAATAAGGAGGAAATGGATGTTGTATAGGAATAATTAGTGATTAATGCTTATTTTGGCCACTTTGATACGTTTTCCTCAGAAAATGTCATAAAAAGATGGCAATTGGACTAAATTTTGGTAACACTTCATTAAAATAGCAGGGCGGACCTCAACCAAAAATAATTCTGGGTCAACTAACACGCATACGATTTGATCCATTAATTGATTTAATAGACAATCTGCAAGAATCATACAGTTTCCACAGACTCGGGTCTTGTGTTGAGATGAGATTTTCTCATTAGTGAATATTAATAAGTGATTCAGCATGAAAATAAGATTTAAAATACAGAATGAAAGCAATTGAAAGACGATGAACAGTTCTTTGCGAACATCTTTGTACTTCCTTACAATGAATTATCTACATAATGTGGACTTCAATGAAGCTTCCAGGCACCTGAATTAGTAGGTCTGTCATGGTCAAACATCCATCAACAGAGATGAAGTCATGCATATCTGTTTTTTCCACTCGTTGTTTCAACGGTTCTACCCGTCAACAGGTGTCTGTGAACCCAGCCTACAAGGTGCAGGAGGCGGAGTTTGCTCTGCGAAAGGTGGGCGACGTTCACTCGCCTGTTTGTATTTCATCCCGTTGTGACGCAAGGATCACATGGCGTCTCACCGAGTTTGGGGTGGGGGTGTCCCCGTGTGCTCCTCTGTTCACAGTCCGGCTGCAAAGCCGTCGTGTGCCCGTCGCAGTTCAACACTCAGGACTACAGCGGCATGCTGACGCAGCTGTGTCCGGGGATCGAGGCGTCCGCCCCGGGGGACGTGAGGAGCGGCAGGTACGGCTGCTCGGTGCTCGCCTGCCACCCGTTGCAGAGCAACCGACTTTCTGTTTATTTTTAAGTGTTTTGAAGAGGGAGCTCATTAGTTTAGGTCAATAATGAGGCTTTAGATTCACAAAGAAAAACATCTGAGAGGGAAACAACAGTTTGTGTTGCATCACAACTAATTCCTTAGATCAAGTCACGCTGGGGTTGATTGAACTGGTGACCTCAGTGTGTTGAACATTCTAGCTGAAGTCCTGATTGTGCACTTACAGGACGATGAGTAACTACGGATTGTACAGTGACACGCGGGTCAGAGCAACATGACACCCACATTTCTTTGTTTGCTTTCAGACTCCCAGACCTCCGTTGCGTGATCCTTTTGGATCGCAGACAACCAGGAATGTTGTGCTTTGAGGACGTGATGCAGGCCGGCAGCAGCCAGCACATGGAGCAACTCCAGGACCTGCAGAAGAAGATCTCCACCGACGACCCCATAAACATCCAGTTTACTTCGGTGATTGCCGCTAACTCCTGCTGACATTTAGGGGATAGTTTTCAGGTTTTTTTATCGGGTTACCGAGGTCCAGTTAAACCAATTATGCTTATGTTAATTATACCAATTAACGGTAGTAGAATAATCTCATTTAATAAAATGGCGTGCTTATAAAATAGAGAGCCAGCTTAACAAACAGTACCCATACATTATCATGGCTTTTAAAGGGATTTATTTGTGTCACCAGGGAACCACCGGGACTCCAAAGGGTGCCACCTTGTCTCATCACAACATCGTCAACAATGCCTACTTTGTGGGGAAGAGAGTGGGATACAGCTGGAACGTGAGTCTTTTCATTCACCTCCTCTGACCAGGGAGCAGATTCAGGAGCCAACTAGCTGTGCTGTGAGTTTCAGGGTGAAATAATAATACATTAGATCAGAAAAAAGACCAAAAACCATCAGTGAATGCATATAATCATGTTATATCATCATGTTTCATATATATATATATATATATGAAACATGATGATATAACATGATTACATGATTATATGAAGATTATATGATGTCTCTTCTTCCTCCTGAAACAGAGCTCCATTAAAACACATCAATGAGCCTCACTTGACTTGTTTTGACTTGACAAATTGCTGTATTTACGGTTTTACGATCTTTCTATTTTTGTCTCCGTTTTTTTTTACCCCCACAGCCATTCAACCGTATCTGCCTTCCTGTGCCTCTGTACCACTGCTTCGGCTCCGTGGGCGGCGGGATGTGCATGGCCGTGCACGGCGTGACCGCCGTCTTTCCCTCGGCCGGGTACAACGGAAAGGCCAACCTGGCGGCTCTGGAGAGCGAGAGGTAACATCAGAAACGTCCATACGTTTAGTCTGGTTTAGAAAGCGGTGCAGCGGAAAGCTGTTTGAACTTTTAATACAGAAAAGGATGTGCATAAGAGCTTTGGGATTTGGTTTGAACGTTTCATGTTATAATCTGAATTTTATGATATGCGAAATCATTGAACGGGACATTTATTGAATTATAATTTTTAATTATTGAGTTGAAACACATACAAATCACGATTCAAGGCTACTCCAAGGATCCTTCCATTGGCTTTGATTTATATTTATTTGTCTGTGGAGAGAGAGAGAGAGCATTGCTGTCCATGATTGAAGGAGATCACCGAGTTGACTTGATCAGCTCTCCATTGGTCACCTCCACACCAGAGGAAAGATGGCACTGTCATTCATGATTTTTTTTTTTTATTTTATTTTGAAAGGTAACACAGTGGACCTTCACACTAAAAGGCAATACAGTATGGCTGGATTCAAATGGTCACATTTGCTTACGAAGGTTCCTAACTGAGTGAAATGACAGTACAGTAAGTGGCCTCCATGATTCGAGCTGTTTGAATTCTCTGATGCTAAGGAAAGGAGCTTCAATACTTCCTTACTTAGCTCCTGTAGCATAGGAACCACTGGAGCATCCTTTACGAAAAGACAGGAGACAATTCAGTCCCACAATTCCTTGCGGCGGCAATATTTAAATAGTGACATATTGTTCGGCCGTTCGATCATGACCGAGAAACGCAGATTATGTGAGTAAACTCATTCATGTTGTTAATAAAGTGAAACTTGAACCTGGTTGTTTTATGTCGTCTTCATGACACTGTAACAACACATGAAGGGATTTAAGAGGCTTCTTCGTAGCCGCTGCGGACTGACGCAACATCTTCTGTTGTTGTCACATGTTGTTTTGCCAGTGAAAAAGAGAAAGATTTCAGGTTCATATTCCTACCCTTGAGCCAAACAAAAGTCAACGTGAACCTTTCAAATAGTTAATAGTTAAATAAAACCAGTGTTCCCGGAACAGAAAACCAAATTAGTCGTAGAAAAATAATTTTCAAACTAAACATTTCTACTTCAGTTGTTAATCTGTGTTTCCTCTTAGTAGAAAATGCATTTTGGTGTCTTCCCCTCTCAATCTAAATCAATCAAACACTTAAAATATGATGTTGTTTTGACTAAATATGTAAATGGATAAAGTTGAGACTGGGGCAAATGGGCAAATGGCAGTTTCTGTTCATTGTTTAAAGAACCACTCAAAAGATGACAATGCCAGTGTCGGAGGTCCGATATCATTATGTCACATGACATCATGTCATATGATATCATTCCATGTAAATCCCTCATATAAAAAGATATCACTAAATGTATTTGACCTCTAATGTTTAAACTTTTTTATAATTTAGCTTGAGCCAGATTATAGTAGAAAAAAGAAAAAGCCAGGAAATCAAGGAAAGCCCACTGCCCCCCCTCACTGTGTTATTGTAGCTGTTTGTGCTAAGCTAACTAGCTGCAACGTCATGTGGAATATTGATTTCACCTTTGACCTAAATCAAACAGTGCCAAAGAAAAAAGAGCTTTCCTTCACTTATGAGCATTTTTTCTTTCAAAATATATATTTTTTGAATTATTACTTGCATATATGTTATCAGCAAATGCAAATGAATTAGAAAGAAATCAATTGAAGCATTCAGGCACATGACATGTATACGGCGTCCGTAGCAGGCGTCATTTTTCTGTTTAAGTAAGGTTTTTGGGTTCTTAATAAAAAAAGTTCTTTCAAATGATCATTATGAATTTTCATTTTGTCTGTTGTTGCTCACAGGTGCACCTTCCTGTACGGCACGCCCACCATGTTTGTGGATATGGTCAACCAGCCGGACTTGGCTAAATACGACTTGTCGTCGGTCCATGGAGGTGAGTAAAAAATGTATATTCTGCTTTTATAGGTGCAACAAAAAAGGGCATTCTTACAATGATGAAAGGCCTTTTCTCTCCAGTCTATAGTGAGTTCTAGTCTGAGAATATTTCCATGAACTTTCTCAGGTTGCACGTTTGTTTGTTTGTGTGACTGTAGGCATCATGGGAGGCTCCCCGGCTCCTCCAGAGCTCGTGAAGAAGGTCATTTCTGTGATGGGCATCAAGGGACTGATAGTAAGTCACATTCTAGATTGTTGAAGAACGCCAAACAGCTCGGATCCATAAATAACTCTTTTAAATAGAGGTGCAGTTCTGCTTCCAAACATTAGGGGGAGACAAACACTTGTCAGTAAAGTAAAAGAATGATATGTGTAAGATAGAAAGGAGGTTTGATCTTGTAAAAGGTTTATTGGATGTAAACACCTGCCACCTGCCACTATATATTCAATATCTTTATATCTGCATAACAGGCAGTAACCCTCTCAGATAGTGTAAGAAATACTGTATTTTTTTCTTTGCATGTTAAATTAGTGAAGGGTTTGAAAAAATGTTTCAAGTCTGTCACAAAGGTTTTATAGCTCAAGACAGAATAGCACAATGTATATTATTCTAGATCAACTTCTTCTTCTAAAAAAAATCCATTTTTTTTGATGATAAAAATTCCTTCGCGCCGAGAAAATGTCACTAAAAGAAGGTAGATTGGTGACATCGACTCACCTAATAAGCTTTCCCACATCTATGCGGGTGCTGACAGGAGTATTATGTATTTCCAATCATTATGCTAAGCTAACCTGCTGATTGCTGTAGCTTCAAAACATTAGACTGCTATCGATCTCATCATCTGAGCAAATAAGAATTTTTCCCAAGATGTTTGGTCTTTAGTTTAGATACCTTCACGCTAATCAAAACATCTGAGACTTCATTGAACATCATCCTCATAACATTCAGACCGTTTCTTATTCAGTTTATCCTGAACGCACCATAAAAACACAACGTGTCCCTTCATTTACTTTTACGCATGCTGTGTTCTGGTGGTTACCTGAATGTCTTTGTCAATGGATGAGGTCCATAAAGTTTTGTGTGTGCGTGTGCATATATGAATGTGTATGTGAACTTGTGTCATTATTTGGCAGATGAATAAATAGACAGTCTTGAAGTAGAGTGAGCTAGCGTTGCTTTTCCTGTGTTGCGTGTCCCCTGGACGGGCTCCTCCGTCGGCCTGTGGGGGAAAGACACAAAATGAGCAGCCAAATTAAACAGTCCTACCCAGAGACTACCGGGACCCGGACTCTGTGTACTGGACCCGAGGGCCAACGTGAAAAAAGTTTAGGGGACAAAAGTTCCTGTAGTCTGGAGAGAGAGAGGAGAGGGAGGGAGGGAGAGAGAGAGAGAGAGAGAGAGAGAGAGAGAGAGGGTGGGGAATTAATCATTAAATGCAAACTGTGGTTGGTCCAAAATCAACTTGGACCCTGTGTGGTGGCAAATGAGTCCAATTTCAAATACCAGCCCACCGAACCAGCTCAGCAGGAGCCAGCAAGTTAGCTTAGCTTAGCATAATACATAGAAACCGGTAGAAACCGCTAGCATGGCTAGGTCTGAAGTGGAAGAAAATCTACAGAACACTTTTAAAGCTTGAAAATGAACACATGACTCTAGTAAGTCGCCACTCGTGTTCAAGGAATAACCCGCACTTCATCGCCGTGTTCGCGCCCAGTCGCGTGTTCGTGACGGCAGTCACCTGCACAGGTGCGTGTTCAGTGACGCGCGCCCTTTTTCTTCTTCGGCTTGACTCTGCAGCCAGCGAAGACGGCGCTGTCTCTCACTTGCTTTCCTTTCTGCTGAGGCGGAGATGCGCACGCCGCATCCGTACGGTTGCGACTAGAGTCCATCCACCTGCAGGTCAACAGCAACAACAATAAGTGGGAGATGAGGAGTGGGAGTGGTTTGCAGGCCTGGCTGTAAGAGGGCTCGTTTACAGGTGAGTTCCCTTACCTGCGCAGCGGAGCCAGCTGGCACGTGCAGCTCCACGGGTTGTTGGAGATCTTGAGGTTGGTGACGGTGCCAAAGTCGAGGCTTTTGGGGAGCGACTTCAGCTTGTTGTTTTCCAAGTTCAGGGACTTGATGGCCGTCACGCCTGTGAACGCACCATCGGAGAACTGGAGAGGGAGACAGAGGTGCCGCACCTGAACTGCTGTTGTCTCCGCCAGGAAGGTCATGCATTCTTCCATGAATGCATGACCCTCCACCATTAGGACTGTAATTCTCTGTGAAGTCAAATCTCATATTCATGGCCTACTTTGTTGTCTTCGTACACGCTCTGTAAAGGAAGAATCTTATGGATTCAAAAAACAAATTGTCCATCTTTGAGAAATCGTCAGACGTGCACATGTTGCTTTCATCACGGTCATGTGACCGGTCCCTCACAGCAGCTTCCCTACGGCGCCTTTAATGCACGCTCCCCAGTCCGGCTGTTCCATTTTATTTCTCACACAGCGCAGCACCGGTGGTTAGATACTTTAATACCGAGCACCAACACCCTAAGGAATTGGTTTTGGAGCTCGATCGATGGACATCTTCCACAGACTATTCATGGTTTGCATATAAACTTTGCTCACACGCTGACCCGCCGACCAACAGACCTTCTGATGGATGCAGAACGTGGGAATCTCGCCAGCGTGTCTCTGGCATGAAAGCCTCCCCTCATCCTTCTTCCTGCACCAGCAGTTATGTAAACACCGACTGTCACTGCCTTCCTTCTTCTTGCCGCTTTAACCTCATGTGGATCTGAGGGTGCTAAAAGCTTCAGAGAGGTGCGAGGTGGACCGGTCTCCTGCAGCAGGTCGAGAGAGAGAGGAGCTCTGGTCTTTGAAGGGTTGTTTTCATGAAAGTCTGGAGGAGACGAAGCTGTTTGGAAATTTCCACCGTAGAGCGACAAGTAGCCAAAGGGTTCTGGTATTTTAACGCAGTGGAAAAGATGGATGACTTCCAGCATGGCCGAGGTGTTTTTCTCTCCCTGTCCTCTCTTTGCCAGGAAGGCTCGCAAAGGGCCCAATTGTCCATCTAACCCGGGTGGGGGGGAGGCGGGCAATGGCAAGCTAAAAATACTCCTCTTCAAGTACCGGTGGAACACCCGGCCTCTATTTACCTGTCTCCTCACCCCTCCTGACCTGTTTACCAGACCCTTAAGTAGAAAACGCACCTTGCCGAAAATATCCGTTATGTAATAATTAGACTCTGGGCCGCAGCCCAGCAAACAAAAACACTCCTATAAATACCTGCGTTTGTCTCTCTCCCCGTACTCATTCACACAGTCCCAGCGTGAGAAGGTTGTTATTTTACAGTCCCGTCACCCTCCCACTTGGGACCAGGCCACGCTGTGGCACCGGTACACTCAAACATTGGATTAACCTCAGATATGAAGCAAATGTGCACTTGAGAATGTCATAAGAAATAGTGTGTACCGTAACCTGGAGCTTATATTGTATAGATTTAGGTTTAAAATGGTCTGAGAGTCTGAGGTTTAACCAAAAGAAAATCAAAACCTCATCTTGTCGCGACGTATAAATAAACTCAATCTCAAGACTATTGAGACACACACAGAGACTAGTTTTGGATGAACTCGTAATTATAAACGTCATTTACACTAATTCAGTAAATGTCCTTCTCTGGATAAAGTGATTGAATAGGTGAATATTTTGAGACGTGATGAGGAGCACTCGATCTGTTGGACATTACACTTACTTAATAAATCTCTTTCTTTCTTTTTATGCTTTGAAAGTCAACATGTTTTGCAAGTTAAAATCCTGCAACCCCCGTCTAGTAAAAGCATAGATGTACCTTCTCCAGGCCCATGTTGTCCAGCTGTAGTTTCTCCATGTAGCGGCCAAAGCTCTGGAAGGCGATGTCAGGGATGGTCCTCATGGGGTTCTTCCCCAGCGTGAGCTCCTCCACCACCCGCAGCTTGCTCATGGCCGCGAGCGGGTAGCTGGACAGCCGGTTCCCGTCCATGTGGAGTATGGCCAGGTTCTCCACGTCGTCCAGGGAGCCCGGCTGCAGGGTGGTCAGCTCGTTCCCGCTCATGTGCAGCCAGCGCAGGTCCTTGGCGCCGGCGAACGTCGCCGGCCGCAGCTCCCTGAGCCTGTTGTCGTTTAGCTGCAGGATGAAGAGGTTGATCATGGGGGAGAAGAGGCCGCTGGCCAGCTCGCCGATCTGGTTCCCGTCCAGGTGGAGATAAGTGAGCTCCGTCAGGTCCTCGAAGGCCCCGGGCCTGATGCTGCTGATCTTGTTGTTGGACAGGTAGAGGTAGACGAGCTTCTTCAGCCCCTTGAAGGCTTGAGATCCGATCTCCCGCAGCTGACAGTGCTGCATGTGCAGAGAGACGAGGCCCTTGCTTTCGCCAAAGGCCCCTGTGGGAATGGCGCCCAAGTTGTTCCTCTGCAGGTTCAGCAGGCGCGTGACCTCTGACACCCGCGGGATGCTCTTCAGCCCGACGCCGTCGCAGATGACGTGCTGAAGGTCGCCGTGGCAGTGGCACATGTCGGGGCACTGCGCCGGAGCGCCGTGCACAGCAGGACCCAGGGCCAGGAGGAAGGTCCCCAGCAGCAACCAGCTCGCACGACGCATGCTGACGGGCTGCGCTCACCTCGGACAGTCGTCCAGGATGTTTTACTCTCAGGATAAGAAGCGGAAAGATCCTGTCAAAAGGTGTGAGCTGTGTGAGGTGTGAGGTGTTTGCTCTTGGAAAAACGGGAGGAGAAGAAGGTGATGCGACTGAGCGAAAGGTGGGCGACGCGCTTCGAGAGGAGGACGGCCGCTCGGCAAAACACACAGCGCTATTTATAACATTCACTGGAGGGAAAAAAGAAGAAAAAAAAAGCAAGCGAGGAGGGCTCGTCGAGGTGAGAGGTTTGCGACAGGAAGTCAAGTGTCTGTGAGAATTTAACCCTGAATGAGCAGGAAGATGACACGCAGCTGGATGTGCAGACAAATCCTAACGGAACAGATGCACGCCAGTTTTAGATAGCAGCTAATTGTTTGAAAGAATGATCGAGACGTCTGCACGCTCGCAGACGTCTCGATCATCTTTGAAAAGCTGCCGTTTCATGACCTCTAATGGTCTCCAGATGGCCACGAGAGACCTGAGATCATAACCATTGCAAAAAGACACCTAGAGAGGAAAGTTTCAGGAGGCGCTTTGCATTCCTGCGTACATTCTTTCTTTTGGAATTAAGTGCGGTATTCTGTAATGGGCCTTTTTGTGGATCTTGGGTTTCAGCTGCAGTTGATGGAACGTTTTATCTGGAATGTCGTTTCCCTCCCTGACTTCCCATGTAGAGTTCTCTCCTCTAAAAAGCCCCGTTTGTCTTTGATTTAATCTGCTTCTATGATTTATTCAACCACCCAGGGACGGGTTCAATCAGGAGAAGTGCTGTATTTCCTTCTGAAATGGAGGACGAAAGAAAATGTACCAAAACAAATATTTTAGTACAATAGTTTAGTAACTAATAGTTAAAAAATACTCAGTTTAGAGCTGAAACCACAAGTTGAATTTGCTGCAATGGCAAATATGTGGTCGTTTGAAGTTCGCTAATATGAGGCTTTTCTGTATTTTTAAAATGACATTTGGGTTCTGGGATATGAGTAATAAAAAACATGACACCTAAAATTTGGTACAAATGTCCGCTGATTATAAATTGGTGGTCCGAAGTCTCGCAACTCTCGCAATACGTATGACAATTTCACACAAACTACATGGATGTAAACTGCAACTTGACTGGTTGACGAATCAAACTTCAGGTTTGACATTTTGTAGAAAAAAATATTAATGGAAAAATCTTTTCGAGTGAAAACAAGTGAACTGTTCATGTATGAGCTCATTAACTTCCTTCTATTACTCATGATGTGTCTAATATTTACTGCTCCCCACGTCCTCCGTGTGATCGGCAGGTTGCATACGGAACCACGGAGAACAGCCCGGTGACCTTCTGCCCGTCGCCCAAGGACAGCGTGGAGAGGAAGTCAGAGACCGTGGGCTACATCATGGACCACGTGGAGGTACTCCACCCTGTTGGCTACGTCACTACGAGGAACAAATATTTTTACATTAACTAGTCAATGAACTTTAAGAATGAAAAACCCTTGAACGTAGTTCAATCCATGACAAAGATAAGTTGGGATGTTAGAAAGGTGTCTGAAAAGAATCTGATGAAGTGGAGTGTAAATAAAACCAGTGTGAAATGCAACAGAATTAACCTGTTTATTTGTGTAAAGATAAACATTCAACACATTAAATAATAAGAAATATTGATTTACATTCAGTTGAATTGTTCTTCAAGCCTTTTAAGAAGATGTGTAATCTTGTAAAAAGATCTTTGTGTAATAAATAAATAAGAAACTAATAGTATCATTGTCCGCTGCGCAGGCTAAAATTGTGGACCCCACATCGGGCCAGGTGGTCCCTCTGGGGGCGACGGGGGAGCTCATGACCAGAGGCTACTGCGTGATGTTGGGTTACTGGGACGACGAAGCCAAAACACGAGAGAGCATCACCCGGAGCGGATGGTACAAAACCGGGTAGGAAATGGTTTTATTGGGTTTTATTCGAACTACCGAGACAATGTGTAAATATTGTTTGTGAAAGGGTCTTAAACCAAAGAGTAAAGAGGATATTCTGTGGCTGCAGAGACCTGGCCACGATGGACGCGTACAGCTACTGCCGGATCGAGGGCCGAATAAAAGACATGATCATCCGAGGAGGAGAGAACATCTACCCGGCGGAGATCGAACAGTTCCTGCACACGCACCCCAAAGTCAAAGAGGCACAGGTGAATATAGCGCTTTAAATACCGCCGTTTGTGTTCTGATGAGGTAATGCAAAAATATAATAAACACTGTTGCTGTTCTTGACCCACATACTATTTTTTGTCATTTTTTATGCTTTTTATTGAGATTGATATGCAAATATCCAGAAAACATTTTTCTAAACACATAATAACCAATATTTTATTAGTTTCTCGTATTGAATCGGAGTTCAGTTTCTGTGTGTGATTTGTGCATGATGTTCTTTTATTTATTATTGTCAGGTGGTCGGAGTGCAGGACGCCCGCATGGGGGAGGAGATCTGCGCCTGCATCAGACTATCGGACGGAGAGGAGTGCACTGAAGAGGAGATCAAAGCTTACTGCAAAGAACACGTGAGGCCACAGTCGCTCTTTTTAACACTCCGACTTTATCTCCCTGACCAACAACAAATAAAAACAACCTCCTCTCCCCTCAGATCTCTCACTTCAAGATCCCCCGCTACGTCCTGTTTGTGACCAGCTACCCGCTCACCGCCACCGCCAAGGTAAGAGCCCGTGTCAATATGCTCGTATGAAAGGTATGGAGGGTTTGTTTAGGTAGCATTGCATCATGGGAAACTCCGATGATCAGCCCTAACGCCTCCTCCCCTCGTAGGAGGCTGTTAGATACAATTATTTAGTTTAGACATGTCGCTGTGTGGACGTTGTCTATATTGTTTTTATCGTTGTCTATATTGTTTTCCAATATAATAAAGTAACCTTTTTCTGCCTTTTAAAGCATGTTTTATCCAAGATTAATTTAGAGGGGCCTTTTCAACCTACAATAACTTTCTAAATTTTTAACCTTTTTCAATATACTATAGTAACATTTTTGTGACCTACAATATCATTTTCTTTCATCCGCAATTGGCCTTATCCGTGTGTAGAGCTGCTCCATGGATGAAGTAAACAGCTTTGAAATGAGTTTGACTCCAATATTCATCAAAAACATCAACCAAATAATAGTACCATCACTTCTGGTTCCTAAAGTATATTGTGATGCCCTTGAGTAAAAATACCAAAGTTTATCTTCCTCCATGATTGCCGGATTAATTGATAACATTTAAATAGTTGTGTACCGTCAGTCTTTCAGAGCTGAACTCACAACCCTGTTTTCCTTCTCGCCTCGCAGATCCAGAAAGACAAACTACGCGAGGAAGCTGAGCAGCAGCTCGGACTCAAGAATGATAAATGAGGAAAATTCAAATACTGTGTAACAGGGATCTCAACATGCTGGAGAAACAACGGCCGACAATGAAGCCGCTTCCTGTAACCCACCGATGTGAAGCATTTACAACAGTGATCAAAAACAATATGTCTCAGTAAGGAGTAGTGTGTGTGTTCTCCATTACAATAAGCACGCTCTTTAATGTGACTCCGCTGCATGAATGATTCCTGTTTGAGTAATGTTTGTAAGAGGAAAAAGTGCAATGAAATTAATCCATTTGGTGAGGATTGTCAAACAAATGAAAATCTGTACACATGCGACATCCTCAGAAAAACGTCAACAGGGAGGACAAAAGGAGATATTTGGGAACGTGGGGTTCGGGGTTCCTCTCCCAGTAGATGTGTAAATAATGAACATAAACATGTACTATACGTTCCATGCATAACTGAACAAACAAGAGCATTGCAGGACTTTATCCTGTGAAAAGCCATAAGGTTTTTAACTGCAATGATCTTACTAAAAACCTTACCAACATGTCATGAAAAGCAGAAAGAAAGTTGCAAAACAAAAGCACTGCAATGTCAGAAAAGGTGATTAAAAAGTCAAGAAGGTGGTATCAAATGGTTGAGAAAATAAAAAGCATTCATGAAAGTCAAACGATCATTGAATAAATATACATAACACAGAAAGATTTTAGGGGAAATAAACCTTAATAAAATAAACACTACCACAATATTAGAACCAGATGTGGGCGTTTCTCTTTTTCCAGGAAGAATGAGGATATTTTTTTTTATTGATCTTGTGGCAGGTTTCCACCTCTCAGGGCCTTGGAATGCCATTGAGAAACACGCACACCTATTGAAAAAAGGAAGTAGTAACGCAGACACACAGGCTCTTAACAGCAGTAAGGAGTTACCTCTGGAGTTAGATGGGTCCACATGTGCGGTCCAAACAACACCGGGCCGCGGGATCGGATGTCTTCTGTCTAGACCTGAAGGACTCGGCCCAGAAATAGCGCTGAAGAAAACAAATGGGGCTCTTGGCTCTTAAGAGGGAACCTCAAGGTTCATTTGGATTTTTTTTCCTTACATATTTTTGGGGCTGGATTCATGGCACGCCCAGAAAGTGCAAAGAATCATTCAGTTGTTTTGAAGGTTCTCCGGCATCCGATTTACAAAGATTCTGGTGTAAGGAAATAACTTCAGTGCCAAAGGAATGTACATGTTGTGGGGTAATAGAAAGTATGTGAGCCTGACTTTACATGTCAGATTTAGTCAGTTCTTTGTGCACCTTCAGACAGTTAAAAAAGAAATAAATCAAATTGTGCTTTTAAAATCTATTCTTAAATCAGCAGAATGGTCCTTCACATCAAACAACTAGCCAGTATATAAATAATTGAGCGGTGTACATATCCAAATATTTGAATATTATAAGAACTTGACTGTTCTGCTCCTCAACTTCTTCAGGATGAACCAGACCTCCATGATGCAGTTGTGTCTGAATGGGAACTAATCCCTGCAGAAGGTTCCAACATATCCAGCACAGACTGAAACCAGCGTGCGACGTTTGGCTGCATGCGTATTTTCGGGACACTATCCTACTTCATCCGTCCCAACTCAGTTCTCAGGCAGTGGGATCCCGAGCGCGGTCTGCCCTCCCTGCATTTGCCGCTGCGCTCGGGCCACCTGTTCCTCGGTGCAGCAGTCCTGCAGAAACACAGCGGCCAGGCCGCGCAGGCGAGGGCTCTGCGAGAGGGAGAAGCGCAGCATGCACTGCAGGATGGCTGGATCGGTGATCTCCGAGCGGGACGACGGCGTCACAAGGTTCATGAGTGTGGTGATGGCCGACAGGACGGTCTCCTCGCGCCGGCTCGACAGACAGTTTGTGACCAAGTTGATCCCTCCGCTCTCCAGGATGACTCGTCGGGACTCTGGATCCATGCTCAGGTTACACAGTCCCCCTGAAAACACACACACACACACACACACACACACACACACACACACACACACACACACACACACACACACACACACACACACACACACACACACACACACACACAAAGGGAGGATTTATTTTTATTTTTTTAAAGGTTGGGAGATGGTTAATCAATGGGAGAGGTGACAACTGTTCTGACCCATCCCAAACTCCACAAAGTTGTCGTTCTCCTCGGTGAGCACGTCCAGGAAAAGGTCGGCCACTTGCAGCTCCCTCAGATGCTCCATGTTACTCGGGTCGTACGCAAAGTTGGCCAGGTTGGCCAACACCTGCTCCTTCGCCTCTGATGATGTGAAACAAGTTATGGGACAAGGTTAAATAAAGGAAAGATGGAACAAAAATAAATCTAAATTCACAGCCAACGGCAGCCGTCGACAAACCACAGAGAAGTTCAGAAGATGAGTTCTATTGGATCTCATTTGATCCCAACAGTGACCCCTTTATTCAATCACAATATTTAAGAAGGTTTACCCACCGTCACTGTCTGTGTCCTGAAACTCGGTGACCAGAGTCTGAAGATATTCAAACCGGTCCGAGGGATCAGATGAGCTTCGCCTCGACATCTTTAATTAAATTAGCTTAGCATCAGCTCCAGTGTGAAACTACCATTCACACATTAAACAAGCTACAGCAGCAGCCACTGTTCACTCAAACAGACGATGAAACGAATGAACAACAATCACAACTCAACTGTTTACCGCCGTTTCCTGTTTTGATCCATTTGTTAAATGAGTCCGTACGGCAACTTAGCTCCACTGTTTTATATGTTCCTACCGACTGAAACCGTGGTCGTTTTTAATAATAATAATTAATACATTATAGACACCAAACCCATTGTATATATATATTAGTCATCGTGGATTTTGGTGTCGGCAGTTGAACGTGTATTTCACTTTTCTCTGGGAGAGGTTTCATAAAAAGTGGCAAACGGAAGTGGTGTTACGTGACCAACCCGGCGATAAGAAGGAAACTAGCAGCTAGCTGATGGTCGCTGCAGAGGTCAGCTAAGAACACATGTAGGTTTATTTCCCCGCTAGTTCGGCCCTCAGCTGCTCGTCTGTCATTCGGCCGTAATGAAGCAACACCAGCTGTCAGCCGCGAAGCGACGAACCAAACCCATTTTATTTGGGACGCTGATTGTTGGATTAGCCACCGCGTTCTTCAACAGGCAAGTCGGGAGTTGGTGCAAGTTGTGTGTTTTCGGTTGCTTTAACTGGGACGTGGACACGTGTATTATATTAAAGGGGGGTGTAATCATGCACTGTAAACCTGCAGTGTTTCTGGTAAATGCAGTTTTTCCCGTAGGCAAAAATACAGCATCATTTATCAGCAAATACACATTATGGTGCATTAATGTAAATACGTATTTGACTCAATGATCTAAAAAGCATGCGACATTACTGTTGTGTGGATTTGTTTGTATTTATGGAATGTTAACCACACCACATTAACTGTAAATTCATAAAACTCAGCGAAACAAACAGAAAACAGGGTTTCTATTAGTGTTAATGGAATACGTGTCATTCATTATAAATGGTGTTAAATGGTGAAATCCATCATCACTCAACAACATACTGCCTCCTCCTCCTCCTCCATCATCATGCAGACACAGGTTCTTTGAGGACGTGGAGGAGCTCCGGGCACAGGAGCGAGAACGCAACGAGGCCAAAAGGTTGGAGGTCATGGAGAGGAGGATGAGGCAGATAGACGAGGTGGCCAAGAGGAGAGCAGGGAGCAGCGACGACTGACCTCCCCGCTGAACTATGCCGCTCTTCAGACTCTACAGATGTGGACAATGCAAATAAAAGACTTCCCGTACCCAACCTGGAGATATCTGTTCTGAAGATTTCTGCCAGGCAAGAAGACAACCCGTTTGTTTGGACAAATGAAGCATTGGTGGATGAATGCTGTACAAGTCACACAAGAATAATAAATGTTATCTGCTGTTTTGTGCCTGTTTTGAGACATAAACAAATATGAGTTTCTAAAACCAGCGGTGTATTCTGTTTACTTACATTTCAGACCACCAGAGGGCAGTGCTCTTTTTTGTAGTGTCGTTTGTTTCAGTCTCGAACGTTTTTAGTACTCTAACCACTGATAAGAAACGTTAGGTCATTCATTTCATTCGTTACGTTTTTTAATATCACTAGCAGAATAACAAACAATCCAGTTTAAAAAGACTGCAGATTGATTTTCAACTTGTTGCTGTCTTGTCCAGATCACCAAAAAACTTATTATACCTCAACTGTTTTCGAAATGGTTAAATAAATTACGATGAAGTAAAAATAAAGGTCTAAAGCAAGTATATTTGATGCAAAGCCTAAAATGAAATTCTTGAATAATAACAAAAATAAACTATTCAATAGTTGCGGCTGCAAATATAATGAGTAAATGACCTCTGGTGTCAAAACAGATTGAACGAGTTATGTGTAACAGATAAGTTTAATTTAATTACATTTTATTAAAACATGCCACAAACGATATCTGAAATAAATTAAACCCACAAAATAAAAAAGTTAATATTGCACATGAATGAAATAAATAAAAAGGTGAGATCACATGACTGAGTGCTTCACTGTCAAGTAATAATCAAAAGCTTTTTAAAAACAGAAATCACTCGACTACAGAAGACGAGAATGCTGGTCTGAACTTTCTGCTCATAGATAACGATCAATATGACCAATACTGTACACATCATCTCACGTCGTCCAGAGGATACACACAGAGACTGGTAGTTAAAGTGTGTGTGTGTGGGGGGGCGCATTTCATTTGCATAATATTTCCCTCTTTAGACGACATTTCACAAATCAGGGTGAGCTGCAGGAATCTAAGTACGAGAGAAGAATAACAGTAACACGTGGAATATGCAGACAGGGACCGTTCATTAAACAGCAGGTCAATAAAGGTTTACAGTTTTTGTGTGGGGCCTCACTCGCTATTCTTTTTTTATTTACACTGTCACACCGCGAGCGGCACGAGGCCGGGGGAGGAGGCAGCGGGGGGGGCGGTGATGGCCGTCAGGGTCCTGGCCTTCAGTCCGTTCACAGTCCTGCTGCAATAAATAACAGAGTGGCATTAAAACAGGAAGGAACCCATAGATTAAAAAAGGTAGAGAACATCCTGATCTATTCTCTTTGCAGTGAGGACTATCTGAAGGTGAACATAACAAACGCCCTCCTCTGAAACCAGAAGGACAATGACCTTGTTGTCTCGGCCTCGCTCTGTAGAAACGCTGAACTCCGTCACACCACCGACTCACACCGATCTGCAAGTGTGGTTCTCTTTGGTCCCTGCGGACGTTTTTGGCCTCTGCTCCGAAAATGGCATAAACGTGATACGAATTGTAATGACTAACTAATTTGTCTATTTGGATCATTTCTTTTCTGTAGGGTAAAGGGGAACCCTTGTGAGTGCTATGATGTGAAGTATCAGTATATATGTTTATAGTTAATTAATAAAGATGGCACACAGATTTCTTTTTAAATTTCCAGAATCCGCCTGAAAAAAAAAATCCCTGGCAAAAGGTATCACTATAAAACATGGAGAAACCAGGCGAAACGCTCATCTAGATCAAAGCCCAGATTGTGGGCAAGTTTTACTGTGATGGAGTAAAATAGAACAAATCTAGAGAGGCTTTAGTTCAGAGAGTTCAGGCGAGGTTTACAAAATAGAAATCTGGGCACATTTTGGCACCATTTGTATGTATTTATACTATTATATACATTTAAACTATATATTTCACTTACACATTACTGATGGTGTTCAATACATCCAAGTACAATATGTTTTTATGAAAGATTTAAGCAAACTATATTTAACCAATTGAAAAACAACCATAGAAATCTACACAATGTTGAATCCAAATGAAAGATTCAAGCAAAGAGTAAAAATGACAAACAAGAAAAAATGCAGGTGGCTGCTGTTTGTTTGCACTTTATTCAGGGAACGTTTGACTGAGAGAAATGATACAGATATCTCTGTAATCTGTGTGTTATTTCACTTTCCTTTGTCTGTCTCAGTTCTGTGGTTAGCATGTTGCTTCTATCGACGGTGGATGAAATGTGCAGTTTGGCAGGGATTTTTTGCGGGAAATGAGGATTTATTTTCATGTATTTATTGCTTGAGTTGTGTTTGGAACAGCTTTCATATGCTTGTAGCGCAGGCGCTGATGTTTACAGAAATATGTCAGATTATTATATATATTTTTTTTCTTTGGTAGCCTTGGACAACCTTCGTCACGGGGCTTCACTCACGCTTTGTCGAAGTAGGACGCGTGCAGCGCCTGCGAGTAGTTGGCGTTGTTGGCGTTGAGCGCGTTGCTGTTGTCGAGGGCGTACGCCTTACTGGCCTTCTGGTCCTTGGCGTAGTTCCTGCAAGCGGCGAGCTTGGACTCCAGAGCCTGCGGAGGAGAAGAGAAAACACGGTGAAAGGGAGAAGACGAGGACTTTCCCCCCCATCACGCAGGAGAGACACCTGGCAGCTGCAGACAGGACGCGACTCACCCCGACTTTCCTCAGGAGATCGCTGACGATGTTGAGGGCCGATATTCTGGCCGAAGGAGTCAGCGGAGAGTTGCTGCCGAAACCGTTTGACAGAACTGTGCAATACAAAATAATTTGCTAAATGTTATTCAGATGCCTTTCTTAACTGTGCCTGAAAATGTTCTTCAATGCTTCAGTAAAATCTATTGATTTTCTCCTCATAAAGATGAACTTGTTCCTCTCAGCGAGCATCAGACGTTCTCCACACAGGTACTCTGATATTCTTTGTAATGACCAGAGAGGAAGAAAGACACTGGACGGAGGACCGGCTGCATTTACCCGTCGTGTTGGCGAAGGCGTTGTCCACACCTTGGCTCAGCGGGGTGGCCGGCAGAGAGAGGGAGGCGGCCTGAGCGGCCGCGTCCGTCTTCTCCTTCTCCTGCGTGGGAGAACTCGGAGCCGACATCCTGATGCCGTCCGACTGCCGCTCCCGTACCGCCAGCTCCTGCCGCAAGTCTACGAGGAAGAGGAAGGTGCAGTAGCTTCATGCAAATGATCCGACAGCGAGGAATCATCTGTAAAAAGACCGCAGTCGATAATCACCTCTGGCTTCGTCCTTTAATCTCTGCACGGACTCCAGGAGAGACTCCTTCTCGTCCAGCTCGCTCTCCAGGAAGGCGTTCCGCTCGATGGCCTGGTTCAGGCGCTGCTCGAAGGTCTCCAGAGACACGATGGTGGCTCTGGAGGGGGAGAGGGGAGGAAGGGATTGATTTTTAAGGTTAAACAGCGATCATAAAGGTGACTTGGTCACAATATTGTCTGTACTGTATTAACCGCACAGTAACCAAAAATAAATATATTAATTTTATCCTCATAATTATAAATCAATATTTAGCGACACATAAAAATGATCACATTCAACTGGGAAACATGAAAACTTTTGATGCCATGACATGTACTGTAATGTAATTCGGACCTTTTGGTTCTCTCCAGGTCGTCGTTGGACTGCTCCAGCTCGCGCACGTATTTGTGCAGTTGCTCCTTGATGCTGCGTGTCTGCCCGAGGTCGTCCTCCAGCATGGAGATCTGCTTGTAGCTCTGAGTGTACTGATGCTCAAACCTCTCCTGAGGAAGAGGAGGAGGACAGGATGAAGAGAGGGTTATCGATCACCTGCGTTTAATCTAGGACACGAGCTACATGTCACAACTTAATTCAAAGCGCTTCAGCCGAAATGTTTTCATCCATCTCTCATGTTCCCCTCCGTTGGAAGTGTGACCTAAATATCCGGCCGCTCCGAGACAATCAGCTCGATGAGCGGCGGCGGCTGTACGTCTGACCTACATCTGCTCTTCTGCAGGCCGGTGCTTTCAACAGGAAAGAATGTGCCGCTGTTTACAGATACAGAACCACACTCAAAACATTATTCACCCAGTCTCGTTTTTTCCTGAGATGTCGCGTTTTTTAAATTTGTTGCTTTATTTTGGTGAAACGCAGAGAGCCGTCCTCGAACAAAGATTGCCCACTAAAATTTGTTGATTTAAGCGAAAGATCTGCAAAAAGTGTCTTCTCAAAGTATCACGCGACGGACACTTTAGCACAAACATCTCGCTGCTGCTGGGAACATGAATGCAGACATGAGGCCTCCCGCCTCTGTAATTATGGAGTGAGAATAAGACCCAGAGACCTGATGCATAATTTATGAGTCACTCCGATCGGCTGCGTCAGTGTGCAGCAGGAGCAGGACGGAGTAACAAATGAGAAAAGAAGGGTCGCTTCAGCGCCTTCCTGGGGGGAGATTTACATTTAGATTGCACGTGGATGACCACTTATCAGCCTTTTGTTTTGCCGCGCGGGCTTTGATCTCAGCGGTCCCGTGACTTCTGACCTGGAACCAGAGAGGCCAAGCTGCAGGTCCACAATAAAAAAATAAATCAAAGTGCGGCATCCAAGGGAGCGGCAGCTGCCACAGCACGACTGCACGTCTCCTGCCTGGAGGCCGCACTCCAGGACGAGTGGTGACGTAAAAACAAAGCATCAAATATTCACATTGAGGGTAAACGGAGACGCGCCGTACAGCTCGGTTCAGAGTTCGAACAGTCGGGTTTTCATCGTGTTTTTCAGTATTTCGTAATAGTCTGATTAAGCCTCGGAGCATCAACTGCACTGTTAATACTTCGATCTGCATTTCTTTGCCTAGAGATAAATGTAAGAGGTTGCAATGTGATATAATATTTGAATAAAAGGCCTCAGATAGCAATTACATTTGTTAGGCAATCTTTCATATTTTGGATTTAATGATTCCACGGATCAAAAGGGACTCGTCTCTTTGAGGTCGCCGTTTATTTTTAAAGGCAGTTAGGTGTCGGATTATTTCTTTGACAAACTTGTTCCTCCAAGGAAAGTCACAGTTCATTGATACGACCGAAGCGAAGTGAGTTAGCAGACAAAGCTAGCGCTGCTGTGAACATAAGACCTGGTTATATGAAAGGTAATACATTAAACACTGCTGACTCAACATTTAATCAACGCGCTGTGAACCAGAACCGTCTTATGTGGTGAGATGCACGAAAATTGAACGTAAAACAGTGTACCTAAAATGTAAAAACGTGTCAGTTTAAACTGCATGAATAATACTCACTCAATACAAAACATAGAGTACATAAGTTAGTGCTTCCTTATCATCCGAAATCCAGTCCTGTAGCTGTAAATCCGTCACGTTGTCACTGACAGTATTTTAGACACATTGAAGCAATATTTTCTCTCACATGGACTTTTGTGCAGGAACGAATGAGCAGCTCTACGTTCAGCCTGTCGTCACGGCGATGTCTCCATCATCACCACAAGACCGGGATCCTTTCCATTTACCTTCATCGCCTCGACTTCGTTCTTGAGTCGCCCGTTCTCCGACTGCAGGTCCTTCATGCGGCGCTCGGCTTGGCCCAGCTGAGCCTCCAGCTCGGCCTCCAGCTCCCTGCTCCCCTCCTGGAACTCCAGCAGCTCCTCCCGGGCCTCCTGGCAGCTGCGCAGAGACACGGGAGAGAGCGGCGCCCCGTCAGAGGAGACAGAAGGAGGTCGGCAGGCACTCAGTTATCACTTATGTTTATCTGTATTTCGTCTGGCGTGTCCCACAGGAGCTGTGACCCAGATAACGCTCCTCAGACGGCGACCCGTCAGAACCGCGCTGATTCAATCCGCACCAGCAAGAGGAAACATTTTAATATTATTCTATTATCAGATGTCCATCTTCACCATAGAGTGACCTTTTACGACACTCAGCGGTCTGCAGGATACGATTTTTACAGCAGTTCATCCTGCGTTTGCTGCATTTGTATCCTCGCAGGGCCATGTGTTACAATTTATTTTTACATGATTGAATTCTTTAAACTGCATTCAAGGTTACAAGTTTTTTTCTAACAGATTGTAGTCACATTATTATTATATATAATAATATTGTATTATAATATAATATATGTATTCAGGATTCTCGCATCCTGAAGAAAGAAAGTCTGCCGTTCTCTCTTGCAAAAAGCTCCAGAACGGCCCTTTGCTTTGCTGCGGTTTACAACGACAAGAACGAACCTTCTCTCCATAAAACAACACTAAGTAGGAGAAGAAAACCCTTTTATTACATCCTGTATGTCCTTCTGAAGGAGTCTCATCGTCTTTGGACGCTTCCATAACCGCGTTGGAGTCCCGACCTTCTCCCCTCAATCTATAAAAACTAGTGCTTTGAAGAAGGTTTGATTTTCCTTACTTTACTTTTAAAACCAGTTCCCACAGGACGGCTTTGGTGTCGATACAAACCGTCAAACAAGACAGGCGGAAAACTGACGGTTTGATCAGAATTATCCGGTAGGACGGAAAATAAACCCTGATAAGCGGTTCATCTTGAAGTATACCTCCGTGTTCATGTGTTCACTCGTCCCTCAACAGTCTCCAACTGGTCCCTTAGATGTTTTTACCCGTGTGTGGTCACAAGTACTCTGCTACTCGAGCATTTAGACGTTGAAGGTCAGAGTTGTTAATAAGAAACATAGAACGATGCCAATGAGTTTAAATAACATCACAACTTAACAGAAAAGGAAGAAGAGACAGCTAACATACCTTTCCTTGTACTTGAGAGAAAGAGCCTTCCAGAAGTCAATTTCCTCGTCTTTTGAGGAGAATTTGTGTGTCATATCCGTTTCCATGGCAAACAAATCTGTAGAGAAAGAAATGAGAAAACAAGAGTTATTATAATGAGATAAAAGCTTCTTCACACAAAGGAAGCAGAGGGCAAGAGGAAATACTCATAAGCACAAAGAGCAAGACTGCTGACTGTCACCGACTTCAACTGCAAGAAATCCTCCTCTGTGAATAATTCATATCCACGTTATATTCAACCAGCAGCCAGAGGCAAAACACAAATGTTATTACAGCAGATGAAAATGCATTGTAGGTCATTTCATGGGGGCTTTCTCAAATAAAGGAAAACTATGTCATACAGACATTTAAACTGCATTAGGGTTTATATAATAAAATATATTCTTTATATAATAATATTTTCTTTGATGTAATTGGTGGATTAAGTACAGGTGTATATCAAGGAAGCCTTTGAATTTGTGTCACCAAACTCCTTTATAAAATGATACTATTTAAGACATGCATATCATTCCATGGGGAAGATGACCCTGTTGAGCATTGGCCATTATGTAACTTATGTCCTTACCTACCTCGATATCAAAACAATGCAAGATATTTATATAGGTACTCTGATATCGGCGTTGAATTATGTCTTAAAACGGGAGCAGCAATAATAAGACGAAGATCAGCGGCTGACAGCGCGAATGTGACGCCGCGCCAAGCTGTCAAAACCGGGCGTGCAAACAAGCAGCGAAACAAACGAACTACCGGCCGAAACCCCGGCGAATGTTGCTCCTAGTGTATTTTATGTGTATTGGTTTCCGAACATAAATAACATACAATCATTTATAATGCATTTAGTACCTGAACATCGCCCCAAACAGTGATGCTTATCAGTCCATTTCGCCCGTTGTAAGCTGACGAGGCCGAACGTCTCCTGCCTGCTGATCTCTGGTGCCTCCTCAGCGGGCATTTAAAGGACCATACACCCTATATATGAATATCCTTTATTCTGATGTGTGTAGGTTTCGTTTTATAAACCTATATTTAAAATAAAATATTTTGCTGTGATGTTTTCATTTCATTTTTGGAGGCAAACAAATGTGGATAATGACCTAAAAAAGTTGTTAGATACCACAGTGGTTAAAAAAAACACATTTTAGGGTGGATTTCCTCTTGGTTCAATACCTCTGTTGTACTCACGAGCTTTACTGCTGCATACAAACTGCGCATAACAACGTGTGCAATGACACCAATGCTATTAAATTAGCACCATCTGCTGGTCATCTGCTACAACAAGGTTTAGTGTCACTAAATGTATGTTTTATATTAAGGACAAAACATATTTGAGTATCTAAAGAGTACATGGTGTTTTGTAAGTTAACAGTATAAGTTAACACCATGAGCATGAGGTAGATATATATAAATTGAAAATATAATCATGATTATTACATGTTTTTGAAGGCTTGTTTCTAGACAAATGCATTATTTTTATATTATTTTTTTTCCCCTCGGTGATTTTCCATCTATGTATTATTTTTGCTGGAAATGTGCAGTGACGTCAAACGTGCCAGCTGGGGGTTTTGATGACGCGTTGTCATGGTAACCCAAGAGGAGCGAAGACGCCCTCTCCACACTGTTAGCGAGAGTGTAGCTTACACGAACCATGACTCCACACAAAATCAGTCGCATTTCTTCGGCAAACAGAGACCCCGAGGAGGAAGAAAGTGCCCCCGTGAGCATGTTTGATGTGCGCAACGGGGACATGAGCGAGGTTTGTGCTGGAGCCTTTTCCGGTGGTGTAGCTAGCTAACCTGACGTTAGCTAACATTAAGATACCTGTGTAGGTGAGCTGACGTCAGACGAGTGCGCCACAAACGAAGGGAAACAGAGTACTCATATTAATAATGTAAAAATGATTCCATTATTGAATATTAGGAATATTATAAATGCATCTTAAATACTAGTTATTACATCCATTTTAGTCAATGGATTCATTCTACTGTTGTAAGACGTTAGAGAAATACAGAAATAACCTAATTCAATTATAAAGAAAGGTTTATGGAAATAAAAGCTTCACATACAACATAAATGTGGAGGATTAAGGCCTACTCTTGTTTTCATCTTTTTTTTATTTAATCATTTTCTAATTGATTATTTTCTATTTACGTTTGTTTCACCCTGTACATGCATTATGTACAATATATTTTTTGTATTATGCTAAAGGATTTTAAAATCCCACTGAAGTTTTGATAACAGATGCCCAGTCGCAGTGATAATCACTAAAAATAACATTTAAAAAAAAAAAGTAACGAGTGTAGAAGACTCTTATAGACAGTCTTAGAAATAGATTATTTTTCTATGAATCAGTTCTCCAATAATGTGAATGGCAGAGTTTTACACCAAATAATTTCTGTTTTCCTCTGCCGTTGCCATAACGACACCTCCTCCTCCTATTGACTTCCATAATCTAAAATACAAGGCCGACCCGGCCTGGGATTGGCTCATGCGTTCACTGCGTATATAAAGATCTTTTACAGCAGGTTTTGTTTCATTTGGAACAATAGGTTACCAGGATATGGACTCGTATAAACACTGAGGCCACGCAGCTCGCTAAAGCTCCACTCACTCGAGCTCGAGTTGGACGTGGAGAAAGATAGATGGAGAAAAAGAAAGCAAAGGGTCAAATAAAGGAGGAAACTGAGAATAGTTTATTTCACCAGCTCTTGGCACAGACAACGGATGTGGAGGAGGATCCGGTTTGTTTAAAATTACACATGAGCATTGTAGTTATAGATTCAATATGTTTCTGTAAATACTCTTCTCTGTTTGTCAATGCCCGTTCCTACACGTGTGTGTATTGGAGGACTTTCTGATGTCCCCCTGCATGTCTTTCTAACACCTTTCTTCATCGTCTCATCCACAGAGGATTGTGGTACAGCGGATGATAGTGATCGCTCGCCTCCGCCCCGATCTTGCTGACAGGACAGAATTGGGAGGTCAGTAAACAATTTACCTCAGAGCTACAAATAGCTGTGAGCTTAATAACAGGGAAGTGCTTTTCCATTTGACAGGACCCCTTCATTCTAATCAATGAACCAATCACCGTTACACCGGTTTGATCCAGTTGTCCTTCAGGGGGAACAAGGGTGATGGTGATGGTTGTTTTTATAAATGTATGTATGTATCTGCGCTATTTACTGACAACACAGAATATGATGCAGGGGAACATCTGTTAAACTGTTAAAATCACCAAAATGTTCTGCAGTTGTCTTGTTTCCCTCAAAAGTGTTTGAGAAATTGATTTTACTTCTTAGTTTCTCAGTGTTCTGATCAAAGCGTTGTTTGTTTCCACGCAGCTCATCACAAAAAACTCAACTTTCAGCTCAGCAAAAGGTACACGTTGGATAACACGACGGGCCTGCTGTTGATTTATCCATCCTGTCTGCTACATGTCATCGAAGTGAGTTTGAACTGTTTTTAATTATGGTGGGGATTTGAAAGTGTGACGTTGTGCACTGAAAGCTCTCCGCATGGCTCTCTTCCAGTCATCTGGGGACGTCCTGGTCTCGGTTTTGAGAGACCTGACAGACATGCAACAACAGCCAGATGGGTAATGATGCCTTGTTATACTCTGCAGATTAACAACATACAGTAAGAAGCAGTTTCTTTCCCAGAATTACAGACAAATGTGTTGTCTATGGGAACTGGATTTCCATCAGAGTTCAAGATATTTCGGAAAATGTATGACTTGTATTTTCCATATGGGAATTCAGAGTCCCGGTTGGTAGCTCTTAAATGACTGATCGTCCTCCTGAGAAGCAGACTTTATATGAGAGCTTTGTATTGTATTGGCAGTTTTATTTTTAGCCTTGAGTTCAGATATAACAAAAACAGCAATATTATTAATAATGAACAAACTATTTGTATAAAACCTGTAAGCAAAATGTAAGCAGAGGCAAATGCAAATAAAACAAAATAGAAATATTTAGATGGTTGTATTGAGGCCAAGGTCGTGATAGAATAGAATATTACAGCTTTACTGAAGATAAAAACGGATTCATTAAACATTACACTATAATTAGTCCAAGCTGTTAAAAAAAGTGTTAGATATTTAACTGCTCATTGGTTTTTCTTTAAATGTTTTTCTTTTTCTGTTTTGTTTCACATGTAACGAGGTCACTATAAAAAAGAGAAACCTCGACCCTTACATTCATCCTGTTTCACACTGTTTATGAAACCATGCACATTATTCCCTGGTCCCTCGTTAGTGCCCTTGTGGAAGCTTCCAAGGTCGTGTTCATGGCACATAACCTTCAAAGCAGAATGTTCCACCAGTGGAGCTACAAGGTCTGTATTTATTTTAATCTTCTGGTCTTTGAAGATCTCATTAACATGAAGCAAATCAAGCAGAGGGACAAACTACTGCATTCTTCTTCCACACATTTATATTCAGTTTTCCATCCAATTGCTGTGTTTTTTTCCTCATGAATGAACTATAATCTGTGTGGTTGAGCGTTGTTTCTGTGCTCGGCTGAAGGTGCTCGATGCCGATCAGGGGAACAGACTGGAAGAGGAAGAGAGCACGGAGGCTTTGGTCTGCAGCCTCCTGTCGGCGCTGCAGAAACTGAGCGAACACCTTCCAGCATCTCCGAAGGTGTGCTTACTTGTATAAATATGACCAGTATATTCAGTTTTTTTCTAGCAGACACATGAAGCTTTTCTCCCCCTGAATGCAGCCCGAGGCTGTTCCTGGGTCGGCGGTCGGAGGGACTCCGGAGCCGAGCGTCCCTCAGGCGGTTCTCATGAAGCTGCTGACACGAGACGAGCTGCTGACTCCACAGCAACACCTGCAGATGTTCAACTCGCCCTTAAACATCAGCATGGATGCCGGTAAGAGGCTGCGCGGCGTGTTTACTGGGAGTTGTCCTGCAGGAAGCCTGGAAACGTTACTGCGGTGTTAATGAAACACGCGGTCACAGTCAGGTCTGTTGTGTTCTCTGATGGCTTCACAGGACAAGTCGTACGAAGCAGTTGCCTCAATACAGTTTAACCCTTTGGACAGAAGGTCAAAGGTGAGGAATCTTATTATCAAACAGACCTCATACTTATCTACGCCGGTGTGTCACTCCACCACTTTGGTGCAGACCGAAATATCTCAACAACTTTTTTTATGGATAGTCGTGACCTTATCTTTTATTATTTTGTACAGACATTCATGTTCCCCAGAGGATGAATTTAAATTACTGGATGGATCGCCACGATTAGTACACACACACATTCACTTCCTCATACAGTTTAAATACCACATTCCCATCAGCCTCAGCTGTACTTTTATTGAGTGCTAATTAGCATCCGTTGGCATGTTAACACATTATTTTATATATCTCTTTATTAATTCATAATAAAAGATGATCATTATTTTCTTATTTCTGTGCAGAATGTGTTTGGCCTTCAACAAAGCACCTCGGACGAGACTGATGGAGAAATCACTACAACAGTTTTATATCGGCAAATTAATGTCACGAGTTTTTCTTTTTTGCTGTTTTTCAAAAAGCTTCCTCCTGCTCCAAAATATCTCTTCATGTAAACTTGTATGAGTGAAATAACATTGAATACCACATTTACAACAAGAGCACAGAAAAGCCAAGCAATATAAAAAAAACATTTTTAATAGTTTCAACATTCGGATGAGGTTACTTTTATTTCTATGTTGCTTTACACTGTGTTCCGCTTGGTGAAGGCATTTCCTCTTTACGCCAAACATTTATAAAGAGTCCACAGCGTCACACTAGTTTGACACAAAGAACTTTGAAGTCTAAAAAGATTCCTTCATCACTCATGTGTTCCCTTTTTATTTTGGCCCCTATTACTTTAAGCAGAAAAAGAAAGGAGGAGGATTGTATTGCAATGGCTGCATGCACCACAGTGTAATCTACAAACTGCACGAGTAAAAACGATCCGGTTAGGCGTGATTCATTTTATCTTGCTTGCATTGTGATTTCAGTTTGAAAGTCCAATAAACTTCCTTTAAAAGCAGTTTTCTATCATGTGAGCTGCCCTCTGTTCTGAGCCAGGTGCGCTGGATCTTATCTGCTACGGAAATTTTAAAAAAGGTGAAACGTACTTTTTCTGTCTGAATCATGATTGTGTCAATAAACTGTCGATGGAGAGTTTAACGTAAAACATGGTTTCAGGGCAGCGCGGAATTCTTCTTCTTTCACAAAGGTCGGTCGATTCACTTAGAAAAAATAAATACAAGCACACGAATATAGGACCGAAGATGAGACACAATTCATAGGCATGGTTAGAAAGCATGCTGCTGACTTTCATACAGGACAATGTCAAATCAAACGCCCCCTCCCCCAAAACCGGTCATACCACAGCTATCTATCACACACCCATCACTGTCTTTTACTTGAATCTATTTCCACAACACACACACACACACACACGAGCCTCATCAATCAGCGATACATTCCACCTGCAGATGAAGGAAAAGGCCTTCGTGTTTCGGGGCTCAGAGGGGATGCCAGGAACACTGGGAAACGTCTCTGCCCCACAGCCTTATCACTAATAAAGATGTGTTTGATGAATACTGTATATGTACAATCCTGAAGCCGAAAAACCCTTTAGTACAAAAACCAAGAGCAGCACATTGTAACACAGAAATCCAGACACCGACAGGACAGATCATTCACCTCAGCGCGGAAAAAAACTTTAAATATTAAAATAATAAATAGCATTTCCTGTGTCAGCTGGAGGATCAGATTGGATTATTGGTGTGAACCGTAGTAGAGCTTTGAACAGATTATCATTTGATCTTTTTGATAACTGAATAAATGTTAGAGTGAATCTGTTAAATTCTTTTGGCTATTGACCATCAACCATTATTTTGAGAGCGAAACTAATTGATTGCTGCAGGCTTAAATTGTTAGAAAAAGTCAATTAACGTCCAACCCAATTTTAATTTGTTTCTCATGACATCTTTCATATTTATAATGTGTGATTTGTCAAACTAAAAGAGAGCAATGCAGTCGATTCCCTTCAGAATGTCTTTGAACCTCTTAAACCCGACTGGATTGTGTTATTGTCTGTCTGTCATTACAGCTGCAGATTGTGGGGAAAAAACAAAGTATTTCATAATCAAACATTTTTCTTCTAAAATATAAAACATGCCTCGTCGCAATGTTGAAAAAATTATAAAATGACGCCCAGGACATCTTGAATTTTGTCATTGAATGTAATGTAACATCATGTAGCTGCAGAGACATGTTGGAAAGCCAACTAAATAATTAAAATGCAACATTATTAAACGGCGTGACATTGTTTTGTTAGTGTAGAGCTGAAATCAGGGTTGGAGAGGTTCATTCTGTAAGAGATCTCTACATGCTGTGTCCATTTACAAAGCCTACGTTTTACCTAATGTTATTTTGTGTGAAAGTGGAATTATTGTGCTACAACCAGCGACAATATACACAATAATATTCTATAATGTTCATTGTCATTTGTCTTTGTCAATACAGCATTTTCATGTATATCTATATATATATAATAAAATTTCTCCCGTGTCACTATATACAGAACACATATGTACAGATAGTCCTGTGATTAATATCTTTACTTAGAAGCGGGCGGCCATGTGGACCAAATTAAGTCTTTCACATCTAAAAGGCAAAGAGCAAAACTGCTGCTGACAAACGCAAACCTCACTACGCCGGTTTTATTGATTTCTCAGGTTTTTCTCTTTGACCTCCTGATTCCTGAAAAGGGTTTTGGATGCGACAGCGGGGAAATTCTGGTCCCGCGTTTGAAAAATTCCTTTTTTAAATTTTTTTAATTCCTCAGATGAGTCACAATCACAACTCTTCAGACCTAGTAAAAAGTATTCAGAAATATATCTGTATAAATACTCTCATCAAAATAAACACATATACACACGTCTTTGCACTTGCCTCTTGTTCATCTATATAGAATAAAAATATCAGCATCATCAGACGGGGTTCCTATAAACTGCAATGTGGAGGTCGTGAGAACTGAGACTGTAAGAAAAGTGTGCTTCTTTCGCCACCGTGGCTTCTTCTTCTTTTTCAGCGTTACGACATGATGGGATTGTATCACACCTCAGGGCGGGAGGACTTGGCTTATCGAGGAGGCTTCTGCAGAACGTCACACACGGAGCCTGAAGTGTGCCACCGGAGAGAACAGTTCAACTGGTTTAATTATGACAGTTTAATAGTGTTCTGTTAAACGTTTGTTAGTGTCTGACCCAGTTAGAGTCGAGCTGACGAACATCGGGGGGATTTTAGAAGCTGAAGAGACATTTATTCCCCTATTTGGGCGGTGGAGACCAAAAGCAGAGCTAAATCAGAGAATACTGGAGTCTTGCGACGTCCGAGTCTCTCAGTGGATTCAACTCCACTATTTCAGATTGAAACTACTTGAAATGGAAAGGTTTTCATCTTCCTTCAGCATTGTTAAAAGCCTTCCATTTTATACCGGTTTATCTGTCTCATATATTTATTGCCTCTGTGAGGGCATCTATATTGTATCTGGAGGAAATAGTGTCTCATACCTCTCATGTGGCTACAAAATATGATCTGATTTATAGTTTTAGATGTATCATGAATTCTGAAAATGTATGAACAATACATATTCTGTGATTTGTATCGTGATTGATGTAAATATGTAGAGAAAAAAGTTTTTTTATCGGGTGTTGATCCTGGTAGTTATTCTCCTATATCTCTACAACATGCATTCATTCCTGTTTTACACACACTAGATAGAACTCTTTTGGACATATTCTAAACCCACCGTTCCGCACACTCATCTCTCAAAAAAACAATATAATAGTTTTTTTTGGGGAGGGAATTAAGGGGGAGAAAGTGCTCCTCATATTAAACCTCCCATCAAAAAAAAAAATACAAAAGGGGAAGCGGAGAGAGGGGGGGGGGGGGGGGGGGGGGCGCGTTCTTCCTTCTTTAAAACTCACTGGTGAAAAGCCGCAGGGAGCCTTCGATCCTCCCTGCAGCCCGTCTCCGGTCTCACGCGTCACGTTTAAAGGCAATATTGCAAGTGAGAGTCGAATAAGGCAAAAAAAGAAACACTAAATTCAAATAAATAAAAAAAAACAGCCAGCATAAAATGTCAAATTAAGTCTCGGAGCTCCCTTGTATGATTTCTTTTCGTTGTGTATTTTTTGTTGCTCTCTTAAAAGTTTTTATTAGCGGACCCTTCCGGATCTAGTAAATGTGAGGCTGAGGTAAACCAGCTTGAGAGGTGAAAGGTCAATGAACTAGATTGTGGCGTTTCATTTAATCAGCTGATGGGGGGATTCATCTGTGACGTCATAGCACTGTGCTCTCTGGCTCCTCCTCCGGCTCCGCCCCGTTGTTGGTGGATCCAAACAGTGCCAATGAGTTCCTCAAGGTGGAGATGTGGGCCAAGTCAAAAATACCGTCCAGGTCCAGGTTGATGAAGGGGATGTCCAGGTTGCAGAGAGAATCTAACAAGAGACACAGAAGGGGACAAGTGGAGTTAAAATACTATTGATTTGATGATCCCAGATGTGGTTTCATTAACACTGGATGACGTCACACGCAGCAGGCGGGTCAGGTTCAAACCATCAGGTGAACTTTAATGATACGGTGAATGAAAAATATTTTCAACCTATAATCATTGTCAGTATTGGATTTAAAAAAAACTGCTAATAATTGGCAAAAATGTGATTCAGACGTGATAGATTGTAGCACTTAAATTGTACTTATAACGCCACTCATCTATAGCAAATTGTAAATTGGCTTATTTGAGGAAATTGCACTTTTATGTTTCTTGTTCTTCTGAGTTTGTACCCTATGGTTGAATGCACTTATTGTAAGTCGCTTTGGATAAATGCGTCAGCTAAATGACATGTAATGTAATGTAATGTAATAGATGACTGATCAACTCAGGGAACACAAAACCCTCAATGCAAATGAGTTATACTCACGTATAAACTAAGATACGGACCCCAGTTTAATGCAAATAAACAAGGTTTTCTGTTTGATGACTTCCTGTGTAACACGTGTGATGAACAACTGCACAGACAGGAAGTGTGCAGACTGAGGAGCAGCGGTGGTCACAGGACTGTGGAGAGTGGGGGGGTGGGGGTATGGAGTGAGAGGAGGGGAGTGAGGGGGGGGGGGGCGCGTGACTGAAAAGCCAGCTGGAGTAGGGCATTATGGGTGGGAATCCCGAGGGCAAAGACGGTTGGGGTCTTTGGCGTGTGCCTCCCGCCCGCCTGTTGAGCCCATGTTAGCCATGCATCGGTCTCAGCCAACATGCAAATAACAACAGAAACGCATAAAAGCTGGTCTGAGAACAGCCGCTGTGTGCCGGCATATACGCATAATGAGGGAGGTCACATGGCCTGGAGGGGTTGGAGGGATGGGGAGGGGGCGGAAGGCTTCACCACAGGAACTCCTGCTTACCCTAAAAGTCCCTCTCACACATAGAATCACACTGAACCTCAGGGCTCATACCGCTGTAAGTGAGACAATAAGAGCAGTTGAGAAGAGGGGGGAATTAGACGAAAACATACAGAGAACGCTGACGTAAACAAATAAAGAAAACAAGGGAATAAAGTCAAGAAATTGACAAGATAAAACAAGTTTCAGTGCAGATTTACTGTATTAAATTTAAACGTGTTTTTCGTGAATATTTATTATATGGGAGAATAGACAAAAAAATAGGAAACTCACCAAATCATCCTAAAATAATAATAAAAACTCTACAGCTAAGTAGGAAAATATGTATATTTGATTTTGGGGTGAACTGAACTTTAAACTAAACAAACTCTAGATGGCACCTGAGTCTCAATCTAATGTTTAATTTAGCATCACAGTTATTAACATTCTGTAAATGGGCTCCTTGCCAACCAGCAGGGGGTGTAGAGATAACTACATTCAGTCACCTTAACGTTTAAATATTAATTTGACTGCTGGGTGGAAATGAAAGAAATATGAATGTATTTGTTATAATATTATTATTTTTATATTATTAATATTATATTACTCACAAGAGCCAGTTTTCTTGTAATAGTTGGCTGAACTATTATCATTAAAGTCATCAACATACTCAGATAGATCCATTGGAGTAACAAGCAAACTACTGTATTTGTAAATCTACCAAAGCAAACGTTTAAGTTTATACTAAGCGTGGTTTCATACACCTCACCTGTGGACATGCTCTCCCCGGGAGACAAACCCTCCAGGAGGCCCGTCGAGTGGTCCAGAGGCTGGGGACTAGTGCCGGGCGTGCCGGGCGGCTGGGGCGGGGGCAAGCTGGGCCTCTGCCGCGGCGGCTTGGGGGTCGGCCGAGCCTTGGTCAGGGTCCCGGCCAGCGAGGGCGGCGAGGAGAGGGACGGGGCGGCGGCCATCTGGATCCCCCCCGGGGAGCCGATGGTGGCGTATCCCTGCGGGTAGCTGAAGCTGTACGGGGACGGGGTGCTGGGGGGGGTGGGCGACAGGCTGACCGGGGAGGGCTGACCCGTCGACTGGTCGGACATGGCTCCCGACTGGCAGTACGGGACTTTGGGGGGGATCGGGGCCAGCTTCTTTGCTGCAAAGACACCGGGAGAAAAATATGTAAATGCATCTATTTTACTTTAGGAGGCTTGCTGGAGGCAGATACATTTTTTTATGTATTCACATTTAAACTGATTGAATGATTAAACGTGCTACCTGCTCGTCTACCAGCTGCTTTACAAGGGAGAGCGCTAACAACAGTCATGATGACAATTTGGGGGCGTGGCCGTAGCTTTCTTCGTATTGATTTACCTCTCCTCAGGGTGTGAGGGCTGTGGTCAGACTGTCCACAGGAGGCCATCGTCCCGTGGAGTCCCTTCTGTCCGATCACTGGAGACAGCTCCTTGTTCTTCAGAGTGCTGAGGACAGAGTGAAGGAGAATCACACACACACAGGAATGCATCGCCCTTCTCTTTAGTAACATGTCATCCAAGTTTCCAGAAATAAAAGCACCCGTAGTACAGCGTCAAATCGCCAGTGTGACCGCTGTTTGCAGGCAATCACGAAATCAATGACGACGTGCAGCAGAAGCAGTTCAAAACAATCCAAATAAACCGTGATGGTTCGGTGAATTTCCCTCTTTACCATTACGGCGCAGTGCAGCCAGACTGACAATGAAGGTCGAAACATTTTTCATACTCTAAACGACTCTCAGCAGATGAGGCATGAATGGATGTTGAAGCAGCGGTGATTTAAAGACTGGCGGGGTGAGGGGTTGGGGGGGGGGGGGGCGAGCATCTTGTTTATTTGGGGCTCGATATCAAGGCAATAACTGCTGTACTTTCACAGATCTGTTGGTTCAGTCTTTTATAATGGCATGCATTAGCTAGTGCAGGCTATGGATTTCCTTTGTTGCCTGGCAACTGCCTCCTGAAATATCCTGTCAACGTGAAAAGTCATGGATTGCATTTAAAACCATTTAAAAAAAAGAAAGACATGGATCTGATAATGGCTTTCCTGAGGAGAATTAATTTCGATGATCGTCAGATTCACAATAAACAAGAGTAAAGAATAAGGGTAAGTGGTGAGGGGGGGGGGGGGCATCTCAATCTCATCCATCTCCTTCCCTCCTCACCCATTCCTCTCTCATCACCCCCATTCTGTGTGTAAGTGGTTCTGGAGGTATGAGGGGGGGGGGGGTCTGGTAGCGTTGTCGTAGTTACCTAGTCGGCATGGCTCCTCTCTCCCGGCTACAGGCACAAGCTGCCCGTGGAGGGGGAGCAGACAGGGGGATGTTGGGGGGCTTGGGGGAGCCCAGGAAAAGGTCGTGGTGGTTATAACCACATGTGGTCCTATCTATAAGGCAGCGCCTTTTGTTTCTGGGAGGCCCCACAGCGGAACCCTTGCCAGTGAGTCACTCTTTTAACACGAGCAAAGAGACAGGTTCTCGTCTGGAGTTAACATTAATCCACTGAGGAGACAGCCCAGAGGGGGTGAGAGAGCGGGGGGAGACTGTGACCACAGCGGCGTGAGTGAGGGGACGGGCCGAGAGCCACGGACTCGGGGTTGGGGGCGACGGGGCGCATATACGGAGGTGCTCGGGTGTAGAGATGTTGGTGGGGGAGCGAGTGGGACGAGCAAGAGGAGGAGGAGGAGGATGAGGAGGAAGAGGGGTAAGGGGGAGGCGGCCTCTCCTCCTCGGGAGAGGGGTAGACGTAACAGGAGTCCGACCAATTGGAGGACGCATCGTCGGAGCTGCAATGATAAACACGTCAATGTTTCCTGGGGGACAGCGGGAGGAATTCAGTCATATCTAGCAGGTGGGAGGAATCAATCTGTCTGTTTACGTGTGGGAGGAATATTATTGTGTCAGGACGGTGGTGGGGGAGCAGGTGGGGGCAGAATGGAAGAAATAAAGGTGGTGGTTTGGTGCTATGGTTTTCAAATAACAGAGAAAAGAAAAAGTCACCTCATCCATTGCAGGGCCTTGCGACAATGGACTGTTATACTGTTAATGATGCTTGGACTAATGACCAAGAAAAGAAAACAGAATCATGCACGTGCAGCAATGAACTACTGAACCAACGGATCCACTTCTTCCACATGTTGTTACGGTAAAAGCTAAAGAGAAGTCAAAACCATCACATAGAATACACCGGTTCATCTTCACACACACACACACACACACACACACACACACACACACACACACACACACACACACACAGGGCTGCTGACAGAGGGTGAGCAAAATAAACAACAAGAAAATAAACTTAAAGAGAAGTCACAAGTTTTGACAGGTCATGCTTCATCAGAGGGGAGACACGGAAGTGAGGGGGTGTGGAGGGAGAAAACAGGGAGGAGGCAGCGCTGTCCTGGCATACGCAGCCGGGGGGCGGAGGGGTGGGGGGTGTTAGCAGCAGGTGGGGACCGGTGTGGTTGGAGTCAAACAGGACGACGGGGACGAGGACGGGGACGGGGGCACGACAGCCTTACCTGGCTCGGTCGCTGTTAGTGGGAGGAGGGGCGGGGGAGGGGCAGGCAGAGAAATCCCCGGGCTGCTCGGCGACGAGCCCGTCGGTGGGCGGGAGGGGGGGGTGTACGCTCGGGGGCGTGGAAGAGCATTTACGCGAGGAAGACGAGCCCCGGCGCGACACCCATGTAGTGTCCATCACCCTGACACCCATGCTGCAGCGGGACAGAGATGCACAGCCCATCAAATCAAGGGAGAGCGTTTGTCTGTGTGTGCGTGGTTCAGGTGGGGTCATCGGGGTCATGGGGGCTGCGAGGACGGGACAAACTTCTCTGAAAGAGGCCTGGATCGCCAGGGTCACTCTGCAACGGACGCACGGACACGTATGGGCCGAGCGTGCAGGAAGCCACATTCTACCTTCAGCTTAAATGTTAAATGTAAACTAATCTTTACTTATGACAATCACCTGCAAAGATGACGATGCATGACGGAGGTGAGATGTTAGATATTTTGATTACTGCAAAACGGGAGCAGTTCGGACAAAATGAACAAGATGGAGACTTAATGGTCCTTTTGGCAAAAGTTTGATGAGAAGATTCCATTCATAATAAATCTAGCAGCTAGGAACCAGTTTGATGCTAACTTCCTGTTTTCCTACACAATGAGGTCATCGTAAATTACATGTGTTGATTATTGAGCTTTGTCACCAATCTCTGTTGGAATCATTGCACGGAGTCCAAGTGTGTCACCGACACACCTGACTGGAAGCGTTAAACACACACACGACAAACAACCGACACTTCCTGTCAACGTGCGGCTGAGACGAACGGATGACCAATGAGAGAATGATTCTGGGTGATGTGGGGGGGGGTCTATACTGTACCTTTGAATCTTCCTAATGCTGCGTAGTTAAAGACAGAGACAAGCACAATGAGGACAGAGAGAAAGCAGCAGAGGAACTTTGGCAGGATGAACTTTCTTTTAGAGAGCCCAGTTGGAGTGAAACGGGGAGGGGGACGGAAGGGGGGGGGTCAGGCTGAGATCTGCTCTCCCTCAAGCGCTTCAGCCTCGTCACAACCATGAGAGGAAATTAGAGGTCCTTTAAGTGCTAATTAGGGAAATGTTTCCATAACGGATACTAGAAAATCCCCCTAAAAAAATGACAAAAATTGTGGGAGGGTTTTTTGCAGATGCAGCGACACAACTAATGTATGTGGACCGACTTTTTGTGGATCTCCAAGGCTTCAAGGACAGTGAAAGGATTTTTCTTTTCCTTGTACACAATCGTAATAAAATAATGATTACATCCATTTGGGTTGGATTTAGAGACGTTCTTTTTTCCATAAATTGCTGTCTATTAAAGTAAATATATGTAATTACCGCCGTCATTGCTGCACGCCGGTTTTGGTTGCTTAGAAACGGCAGGTTACAAGAGCACAGACCCCCCCAACGTTCCCCCCGAGCTTAGCAAACGCAAGACAGTGAACCAGCTTCCAACTGCGTCCATTGTTTTGGGGCACACAGAGAGTCATTATCTAATTAACTTATTTGTTAGGGCACCAAAGACACGGCCTAACCGTTCTCTCTCTGATATAAAGTCTATAAAAATGAATTATCCCACTGTGCTTTTTATGATTCCAACTATAAATAGTTCTCACTGGCCAGATTAATGCATAAGCTAAGTGCTGTGTGTGTCCTTCAACTGGCCCGGCTCAGTGCAGAGAACAATGGGAAATGATTATCATTTCTATTCCTCGCATGAAGGCACAAAGATTTTAAAAAGGCCGTGCTCAATAAGTGCTAAATCTAAAATATTTTGTACACAAAAACCTGTAATTCAAAGGGAGCCTCACTGTGCTGAGCTTGCTGGTTCTGTGTTTCTATTGAACAGATAATATAAGACACACACACACACACACACATCCAGGTTTAATTAGCCGAGCTACTTGTGGCTGCAGGGCTTAGTCTAGCCGCAGGGTCTTATAAGGCCACGGGTGTATGAAAGCATGAAAGGAAGAGACAGGGGGACAGACAGAGAAAAGAAAGCCTCTGAAAGCCTCAGCTAATCCTCCTCCAGAGCTTGAGGTTTTGTCTGATTCCTCATTTCACAGACTAAATGTCATCTTTCACTTCCTTCACTGCCTCACCCCTCTCGATGGGCAGCAGACAAAGAGTGATACGGTGTGCCTTTCTAATCTACCTCATGGTGAAACCGAGGATGAGGTCACCTCTCACGTCCGTCCTGTGCAATCAGAATTATTCTCACTTTTACCTCACATGTCCGACGCTGTCAAAGAGGCGGTTATGTGGAAACGTTACGCACCTCAGAGTGGCCTCGTCAGGGGAAACAAATCAAATGAAGCTGAGTTGTTGGTTAGTATTCACCCTGAATAACACTGTGAACACTATGTTAACTATTATAAACACATAATTTATAGCACATTCAAAGGGGATGAGTATCTGCACATATTTAGGGTCAACTGCACCGACTCTCTCGATAAGAACTGGAATGAACAGTATGAAAGAAGTGGACCAGAAGTGACCATATGGCAGAGACCTGTCAATAGCTCCAAAGCATCCCCTGCTTCATGGTCTATTCGACTCTAAATGGACCATATTTACTAAATGAGCTTCACGGTGTGTTGAATAATACTGGAAACCACAGATTAAGACCAGAAACTCTTGTTTACTGAAGAAAAAAACAAGACGGAAGTAGAGTATTTTTCTCATAGACTTCTATAGGAGCAGAGGAGTCGCCCCCTGGTGGACAGTAGAGAGAATTCACCTTAAATTAGACACTTCCAAGGACAATATTTATTCATCGTCTTTTTTCTAGCTTAACACATCTTGTTTTTTTTGCATGTAATCCCTAAAAGCTGCAGCTAAATGTGTAAGAACGCAAACCCAGTAGAGGTAAAGAGGTCGTACCCGTCCTTCTTGTAGAACTCCAGCATCATGTTGTCCGTGGCGACGCTGAGCGGTCGTCGGCTCTGGTCGTTCTGTTTCCGCTCCACCTGCTCCATATCCGGTGACGGCATGGAGCTGTAGTTGGCGTTGTGGTTGGCGTGGACCGGGCTGCCGTAGTTCCCTGTGACGTTGAACTCAATTTCTAAAGAGAGGACAATACGCAGGACGTTTTCAGTGCATAAGTCAAATCAAAACAAAAAACCTCCCGGCTCATCCGCCCTCACCTCCGGGGAAGAACCAGTCGGCGTGTTGGATGATGGGCTCAATGATGCCAACGATCTGCAGCGAAACCGTGGTCATCATCTCAGTGATGTTGCTGCTACGGAGAGAGAGAGGAGACTTTTTATTTTGTGGTGGGACGTGGTGTCTCATGTAAGCATTTAGGCGTTTTCATGGTAAAAAAAAAAGAGAGTACCATTTGGAAAATGTTGGCCTTTAAAACACTGATTAGAAGTTAGAAATGGAGTTGTGAGATTTACACAGAGATTTAATGAAGGTGTCCATCAGCCTTTCCGAACTGCTTATCCATCATATTCAGGAGTGAACTTTATAATTAAAAGCTGTGCCTATTGGACATGTTAGTTATTTCCTCTTTGAGCACCATCATGAATATGGAATACTGGACTTGTTAAATTGCCAACTGAAGACCAGAACCTGCCGTCCTGCCTTTTAAACCTGTTGTCATTTATTGCACCTATATGGAAGATTCAAATAGAGGTTGTAAATACCACAACATATTAACTAATGTAGTAAAAATGCATTAATTAATAATTTGTTAAATCCTCTGTAATCCTTTCTTTTTTTTAAAGGTGTAATGTTTCCCGTGTCTGTTATTTTCCCGAGTGGCAAACTCGAGTTCAGCAGGCCTGAGGCAGCGGTTTTAAATTTGATCTGAGGGGATTATAAGAAGCTTCTGATACTATAATCGGACTATAATCGGATGATAATGGAGGATTGTTCACCACTTAGAGATAGTTTAAAGGGGCCATATTGTGAAAAGGCTCACGTTTTCAGTGCTGTCGCACAAACATTTGTGTATCTGTCTCTCAGAGAGAAACAGGCTAAAACATTGAAAACAGGTTTATCCATATAAGAGATATTATGTTATAGATTTTCAAACATTTAATTAATGTAAACATGTTCAGGAAGAAACTACGTGACCTGGACGTTAAGAGCTTATATCTAACCATTATGCTATCTGTTGTATATATATATTATGTAACATGGTACAATAGTGAGTAGATTAGGTGTATTATTCTTTAGGAGCTGTCACAAAGGCCCAATGATTGCACGATTACAATTTAAGCAGCTTAAAAGATTTAAGCAGCCGTAGAAATGAAAACATTGGAACTCAGTCTGTGGAGTCTGAGATTTAAAGTTGTACTTTATATAGTGTTGTTACATAAAAGAACTTCATCTCTGAAGTCTCACCCTTCGTCGCGCATCCACAGCAGGTTCGGTCCGAGGACGATGGCGATGTTTCCAGGCGTCATCTTGTTAAAGTCCTGGTATTCGGTCAGCTTGGAGAGGAATTTGATCAAATATCTGGAAATACAGATACAGAAAAATGATTTAAAATGAAATGAATTGACCTTTTGTCAAAGCTACTTATTAGAAATAATATAATATTATTTTTGTTTTATTTGTTTTTTGGGGGGCTAGTTCATAATGTCAATAAAATGGAATTACATACATGAATACGTCAGTGCAAAAGGATGAAATGTTCTGGTAATGCATGAATTCAGTTAGTTAGTCGTTGACACTGTGCCAAATGGAAAGTCACATTCCCACAGACCTATTTCCTAGTCATGTTTTCAGTGGTCGTATTTACGTGGGATGTAAAGTGAGAAACATGGGAAACAACAGAACAACACTGAGCTGTTCATGTTTCCCACCCTCTTGGCGGTGTCTCATTCTGACAGACAACCACGGTCTGGGGGAGCAGCTGAGCTGGTGACTCATCCTGAGCTCAACTGTTGCATGAACATCAGGCTGCTCATCTGGACGGGCTGAGAGGTTTCCTTCGGGAGGACGGCTGTCTAAAAATACGTCCGGTTTGTGCGATTCCACGTTGACGCTTGACAAGTCCTGCAGCATCCCTGCTTGTCGCCCTTTTCTCTCTTCCCCCTCGGCTTTGGATCGCAAGATAAGGCCTGTGGCGAATACCCGCGGCTCGCCTCCACGCAGCAGCAAATACAGCAACGAGTCACGTTTTTTTTGATGAGGAGAGACCTGTCAATCACAGTAGCCCCGCCTTGAAGCATCCCCTGCTTTATGGTCTGTTTGACTAAATGGATCCTAATTTACCAACTGATCATCATGCTGTGTTGAAGAAAATTCGAGATTAAGACCCTAAACTAATATTTACAATGTTCCCTGAGGGAATAAATCAAGAGAGAAGAAGAGTAATTTCCTCATAGACTTCTATTGGACCAGAGGAGGAGAGAATACAGGTTTGAAGAGCCTGGATTACAAGCCTGGATTACAAGCACCAAGAGCCTGGATTACAAGCACCAAACGTTTCAAAGGAGCTTGGAGTTTACGTGCAAACAATGTTAAAAATGTTTTATTTATATATCACAAATTGTTTAACTGGAAAGAAAAAGGGGAAACCTCATGAAGAGACATAGTCGGATTGGGACGGTGTTTATAGAGCACTAGTGACCTGATGAAGTGACACATCATCACTCGTAATCCATCCTGAGTCCGACTGCTGTCATGGCAGTCGGACTAAATGTCTCTTGCAGCTACAAGTTTAACTCAGTCAGCCATGTTATTTGAAAAGTGTCTTAATTCCCCCAAACTTCATGGCTAATCAGTCCATTCCGACGGGCATTTGAAGCCCGACATCCAACGAGAGGGGAG